GCCTCAGCCGGCCTTGCCTTTTCAGCCATTGTGTCTTCCCTGTCTCAGTGGCATCCGTATCCACCAACATGGGTGTCAGCTTCAACAGCCCCCCTCCTCTTACCCTCTGAATATTTCCTGACCGTGTCTCCTTCTCCACCCAAGGCTGCTAGATATGTACTCACTCATCTTGGATTTACAATGCAGCTCTTTCCTACTAAAGAAGAGGGTGGTCATTTCCTCCTTCCATTATTTCTCACACACATTGTCATTCGCCTCCTGGCCCGTCCCTTTTGTCTCAGACCTCCGTGTGCAGAAGGGGGTCTCAGCACCTCATGGAGTGTAGGTCACACTTTTATGTCGAGAACTCCCCCGTGCCCCCAAGCTCTCTGTTATGTGCTCATTTCACTTTTATATTGTTTGGTAAAATTGTCTTTTTCTAAAGGGAATTCCTGTACATCCCAAGTTCTGGCTGTTGGCACACTTGTTTATCATGTGATGTGGGAGGTTTGGTGTCCTTGGAATTCTGATCACCAGAGTCCCGAGTTTTTCCCTTCTGAGATGTGTGTTTGGCTCCTGTGTACCAGTTCCTAGAGGACAAGAGGATGTGATGATGTGTGGAGGGTGCTGATTGCTCAGTGAAGAGAGAATTCTTTCGCTTTATACACTTCTGGGTTTTTGTTTTGTTTTTAATACTCACCCAAGTCCATGTTCATTGATTCTTAGAGAGAGGGGAAAGTCAGGAGGGTGACAGAAAAACATTGATGCGAGAGCAGAATATCGACTGGTTGCCTCCGCACATGACCAACTGGGGCCGGGGATCGAACCTGACACCTAGGTGTGTGTCCTGACCAAGAATCGAACCTGAGACCTTCGGGTATGGGACGATACTCCAAGTGAACCACACCAGCCAAGGTGTATTCATTTTATTTTTTACAACTAGCAACTGCATAAGATTAAAGGAAATGTATAAAAATAAGTTGAATTAAGATAGTAGAAATAGATAAATTTCTCTTAAATGTTCTTTTATAACAAAACTTTAAAAACTTATTTTTACAGCTCTGATGGGGATGTCTAATGTTCCAGTTTTCTTTAATAAATTATTTCTGTGCAAATTTAACTATCTTTAGCCATCAGGCTCACAGTTGATCTGAATATATGATATCTCTGGCATTATCACATATACAAATTGTTGACTTTTTAAAAAGTTCTCTGCCAGCCATCTATTGCTCTGGGGTTTTCTATAGCAGCAGCTTGTAATCTATCAGTTATATTACTTGAAAATTTTGAAGGGTTTTGCATGGAATCCTGCGGTGCGTGTGGACTTTGGAGTCAGATAGCTCCGAGTCCCGGCTCTGGCACCTCCTAGCTGGGGGGAGTCCTGGGACCAGTTTCTTCACTTTCTCAGTCACCCGACAGGTGGGCGATTCTGTTAGATGTGATCATGGATGTGAAGCTTCTGGCTCTGCTTCAGATACGGCACTTGGTAACTGTTAGCCTCGTGCTTGACTTGGTGTAAGTGTATTAACTCATTTCTGCCTGCTAGAGGTTAGGATGATTCTGATAGAGACTGCCTGTTAGGGAACCTTGGGCGGCTCTTTCTGCCTGCACAGTTAAGCTTGTACATCTCCTCTGTTTTCACAGCTCATCTCTGTGTGACGCCTGCTGTAACTCAGGAACCCTCATGTGCTGTCTGTAGTGTAGCAGTCATCTACTGCTCTCTAGCAGATTACTCCAAAGCTTAGCAACTTAAACGCAACGTTGTTACCACGCAGTTTCTGAGTCATGTGTTAGGGAGTGACCGCTGCGCGGGTCTGACTCAGGTGCTCTTCGGTTAGAGCAGGGGTCCTCAAACTTTTTAAACAGGGGGCCAGTTCACTGTCCCTCAGACCGTTGGAGGGCCGGACTATAGTTTAAAAAAAAAAACTATGAACAAATTCCTATGCACACTGCACATACCTTATTTTGAAGTAAAAAAACAAAACGAGAACAAATACAATATTTGTATTTGCATGTGGCCCGTGGGCCGTAGTTTGAGGACCCCTGGGTTAGAGCCACAGCGCAGGCCTCCGCAGATTTGTGCGGGGCTGGCGATCGCTTCCAAAGGCCTCGCCTGGCTGCCCTCAGGAGACTGCACTTACCCAGCTGTGGGCGTGAGGTCTCCCTGCCACCCGGGCCTGTCCATCTGGGAACTCCTGTCCTCACCGAGCCACAGTGCCTTACTCTGCTCCTTAGAAGCAAATCACTAAGTGCCCCCTATACTCAAAGGGGGAGATATTAATTCTTCCTTCCGAGGGGAAGATTGTCAAGGAATTTGTGGACCTACTTAAAAACTACCACACCTGCCCAATGGCGTGGCTCAGTGGTTGAGTATTGACCTAACCAGGAGGTCAAGGTTCAGTTCCTGGTCAGGTCGCATGCCCGGGTTGTGGGCTCGATCTCCAGTGGGGGTGTGCAGTAGGCAGGCGATAAATGATACTCTCTCATTATTGATGTTTCTCTCTCTCCCTCCCTCCCTTCCTCTCCCTCCCTCCCTCCCTCCCTCCCTCCCTCCCTCCCTCCCTTCCTCTCCTCCCCTCCTTCTGAAATTAATTTAAAAATATATATTTTAAAAAGAACAAAAAACTACCAGACCTGGGGTGCTTGCTGAAAAGTAACGATTCTCAAGGACCAGTTCAGATCTGGTGACTGGTGGGGCCCAGAAACCTGCAGTTGGTACCAGACCCTCATGATTGATCAGGGGCCTGGTGTCCACACTTGGAAGCACACTCTGTGCCAGATCGGTCACTTGGTTGTCATTGGTCACACCTCCGTGTCTCCGCTCAGACCCCCGGAGCACACAGAGCCCGTTTCTACTGGAGGCACCTTTTTAGGCCTGTGTAGTCCCGTTTCCTCCATGGCGCCATCTAACACACCAGCTTTCTCCCCCTTGAACTCCTAGAATAGTCCATCTTTTTTCCTGCTCTTTGGTTCTAATTATTTTGTTTCAATGCTGTACTACTAGTAGAAATTTCAAAAAACAATTGCCTTCTTTCAGCCTGCTCTCTGGCCAGCAGACCCCTCACAGCTCTGTAGCAAGCGGTGTGGTCACTGACTGCCAAGGAGGCTGGCTCCCGCCGTGCTTCCCGGGCGTTAGTACTTTCCTGCAGATGTTTCTCAAGCAGATGGGTTCTCGTGTGTGCCAGCTATTTCAGCTGCGGGGAGTAAAAGGAGACAGCTGTGCTCCCTGTGGATGGTGAGATGGCAATAAATAGGTCCACCAAAATGTACCATCCCAATCTAAATAACACTCTAGAGAAGAATGCTGTGAAACAAGGGAGGCAGACTGGGATGAGGCTTTCAGAGAATCTCCCTGAGACCGGAAGGATGAAAAGGAGACAAGACTTCGAGGAAAGGAAGAGCTGGGTGTGTTCTGGGACCTGACAGGAATCGAGGTTGCAGAGCAAGGACTGAGTGGAGGTTGGAGGGATGACCAGAGGCCGCCGACCTAGAGCTCTTCTGACTTCGCTGTTGTGGCAATAACTGGGAGATTCAAACTACAGCTACTCATTCAACTCCTACAGATGGGAAACGGGGTTTCTGTGTCAGTGTAGCCGAGGGAAGCTAAGAAAGAACTCAGGCCTGATGGTTGGCTGTCAGGGTGGCAATCTTCTCATCTGGAACATCAAATCTGAGAATGGCCACAGCAGCGACCGGAGGTGTTTATGTTGGTGATAAACACTCCCCTGCCTTTGGAGATGAGTCACTTTTCCAGACAGGAAGTCTGTGCATCTGGTTCCGTGTTTTTAAGCTCTGAGCTCAGTTTGTAGGTCAGATACATCCGTGTCTCCGTGCTCTGTTGTTAGCTGCTAGGCCACCTCTAGATTAGATGTGGTGGGCGAGGACCAGCACAGCCAGAGCCTGTGGCTTCTCGCAACTTCCTTTTGCACGTAGCCAGCCCTCCTCACCTTCCAGAGCTGCCCCAGCCCTGTCTCCTGCAGGTGGCAGGACACTGTGCGCTGAGAGACCTGGTCTGGCCAGACTGCCCACGGACTTTGGACGGTCTTTTCCTCTTTTTCTCGTCTCCACTTGTTTGCCAGAGGGTTGGGTGGGATGGCCTCTCAGTTCCTGTTATTTTCTGAGATCGTCTTGTATTAGCCCCGGCCATCATGCTGTGCCTCCTCTGAATTCACACTCCTGTTCATACAGCAGCAGTTGACTGTTCTCCTCACTCCATGTGATGCCTGGGAGCTCTGCTGCTCCTGACGAGGCAGTGCATTCTGGTCTCCCCTGGGTCCCCTTGTGCGGCAGCATTCAGGGGGCGAGTTGGTGGACTGCCCTCAGGTGGAACCATGGTCTCTTTACGTGCAGCGTTTCATCCTCAAAGAGGCTAAACTGTCTTCATGTTAGGACGACATCGTTCCAAGAAAGTAAGCCCCGCTGAGCAAACCTTTTGTCCTGCCCTTGCTTGCTTCAAGTTTGATAGTGTCCCATCAGCCAGAGCAAGTCACATGGCGAGTACAAGGGGAGCCCTCGAGGCAGTGTGATCAGGGCCAGTGACTAAGTCCCTCACAGCTTCCATGCTAAGTGACCTACCCCCTGTGAGGACTTCCTGCCATGGTCTCGTTGAAAATCTCTCATAGAATTACTTGGCATTATAAGTCCAATACACTCAGGATGTAGCTCACTGGGACTATGCGTTTAGACTTACAGAATCAGAACCCCTGGGGCGACACTGAGTCAGACTAAGTCTAGTCACAAACTATTCTTGCCTGAATCCGGTCATCTGTGTTCACGATAGCAAAGTAGCATCCAACTTGTGGGGTCCCTGGCACCTCTGCTTTTCACAAGAGAGAGTTGAGCTGTGGTGTTGGGTTAAAGCTGCTTCATGGTTACACTGTGCTTTCATGTTAGTCTTAGATGTGAATTACTGAACGTTACCAATGAATCAGGCCTCTAGGTAAAAATGTAAATTTCTATTGCAACAGTGGAAGATAATGTGTAATAACCTGTTCTGAGGGGATTGTGTGTTTGTTTTTTAGCTCTTCAGAGAAGTAAGAATAATGAAGATTTTAAATCATCCAAACATAGGTACTTTCTGCTTTCTTAAGTATTTTTGGGTCTAAATACATTCTTGAAAGTATCTCATAAAGTGAATCACGTGTTCCAGGAGAGAGATGTCTTCCCTCTTCCCAGCCCAGGCACACTTTTAATAAAATAGACCTCCAAATTGTTTATCATTTGTATTAACTTTCTGCAGTTTACTAAAGATGGGTTAAAAGCTTAGATACTGAACATGTTAATTTAAAGTTTTAATGCAGTAGAAACATCTATAATTAGATTATAATCTATTTTTTTAATTATTGGAAAATATAGTTATATTTAATTCATAGCTAGAGAGAAGGGAATTCTGTTAAGTCAGAGTTAAGATTTTCAAAGGTAGACCTTTTGCTGTAGCTTTTTTCTAAGAAAATACTTGTACATTGAACCATTTAAAAAGACATAGGATAGTTATCAACTAGGATTTTGATATGAATTGCTTTATACGGCACAGATCTGTTTTAAGTGTCCCCTCCACAGCTCTACCGGGTGATGAGGTGGGCTCAGAGATGAGGAAGGGCCCTGGTCCTGCCCTCCTCATTGCAGGACCACGATGGAAGTATGAAGCTGCCGAGTCCTGACCTGTTGTACACATATCTCAATGAAAATTTTTGATCCCACATATCATAATAGAACTTTTTAAAAATAATATAACTGCTTCTTTACACAGTGATAGCTCCTGCAGTCTAAAAATATTACTTCAAGAGTAAATAACTCTTTTATCAGGTACATAGTGAACACTTAATAAATATTGATTAGAAGAATAGTGAAATATATACACAAAAAGTGAAATAACTTTTAAGACAGCCAGTTGTATCAGTTTACTATCAGAATCACTTCTCGGAAGTCGGAGAGGTGACATTTGATGTTAAGGATAGCCTATTAAGAATTCTTGTGGCACAGGAAGAGAAGACTATGCTCTGTTTCACCCAATCTGAGCCACCATTATTTAAAAGGCTTTATTGTTTTATGAACTAAAATAAAAACAATGCTACCAAGCCATCTTCCCATTATCAGTGATATTAGTTAAAAAGTGAAAAACTGTACATTTTAAAATCAGTAAAATATATGTTTGGAGAAAAGAAAAATAACAAGGAATATAATAAAAAGAAAGCCTTCACTTTTTGTTTCAACCCTTTGGGTTAGAGCCAACTCTGAATTTTAAATTCCAACTTTTCATTCAAAACACTTTTTATTACTACTGCCTAGAACTAGCTAACTTAAGCATATTTATTTTATTTTTTAATTAATTAAATTGTACCCTGATTAGAGTTCTCTCTACTTATTACTAACTGACCTATCTTTGATCTATTATCTTTTTTAAAAAAAATCTTTAAATTCTTTATTAGTTAAGGAATTACAAATGTGTGATCTATTATCTTTGATAATAGATTTAAATGTCTAAAAATTTAAATTACTATTGGATTAAAGTCGTTTTCCCAGGAGAGCTAATATTTACATTGGAATTTGAGAAAGGTTTTGTTTATATGTTGATGGTGTTCCAGCATATATGTCTTAAATTTATCTCAATGATTTTTCTTGATAACCCAAATATATCATCTTAGAAATATGATAGTTTTATTCATTAGTTCAACAAACATATATTAAATACTATGTTAGGCATTTTATTTGGCCTATTACTTTTATGTTAAAACATCAGAAAATACCCCAAAATATAAAAGACTAGCATTCCCCCCACCCTTCGGTAAATTTAATTTTAAAGTATGTATTACCAAAATAAAGTAGATAATGCAAAATAGTGATTTGATAGCTTTAGAAATTCAGTTTTATTTAAAAATATGTGTATTTTGATTTTTTTATGGTTTTATGAATTAGCAGTAATCGGAAGGTTATTTCTCTCTGTCACAGGATCTGATATAATAAAGTTACTCTGACCCATTGAAAAGAATTCTTTTAAAAGTTCTTTTCAGTTAATTATAGTATAATCCCTTCTACTTCTTTCCATCTCTGGCTTCAGAATATTAACAAAGGAACCTTGTTTTTGGAGAATTGTATGTTTCCCAAGCAATACAAGGCTCAGATGGAATTAAATATATCCTTGAAGCCAGAATGAAAAGTAAATGGCTTTGCACTTGCTGAAGTAGAGTTGATGGGAGCAGTCCCTGCCGTTTGAATATGAAATAAGTAGGCTTTTCCTGAGGCACAAGGGAAGAGCTGCTGGGCAGGCAGCTACTGGGACTGACGCACTGCCAGCAACGGGAGAGGATGGGCAGGCACACTCCCCAGGCTGTGCGTGCTCGCCAGGAACACCCTCGCAGCACCCAGAAAGAACTGTTATTTTTATGGAATTCCGAGGTCTTACAAAATATTTTCTGTTGTTGTAATATATAATAAATGTCCTAAAAGCAGTTTTTAGAGGGCCATCTATTAAAATCTTTAATAGAAAATAGTTACTTTCTGTAGTTACAGTTTATATGTACCTAGTATATGCACACAAACATTTGTTTCTTCTGTATCCTCTCCCCTCCCCCAGTGAAGTTATTTGAAGTCATCGAAACTGACAAAACACTCTACCTAATCATGGAGTATGCAAGTGGAGGTAAGAAACTTACATGTGTTTTTCTTTCTTTCCTTTTGGAAGAGTATATTCCCATATTGATAATTATTAAGGTTTCTTTAATATGCACAGTCATCATACACTAGGATGAAAATCAGAAAAGCCAGCTGTTAGCAGTTCTGTGGGTTGTGATTGTTTCACTATTAACATTTTAAATTGACGATATCCAATACTTGGATTTTTTTATTGTGGTAAAATTACACAACATAAAAGTTACCATTTTAACCACTTAAAGTGTACAGTTCAGTGGCATTAAGTAATGCACATTGTTGTGTAACCATCACCACCCTCTATCCACACAGCTTTTTTCATGTTGCAAAACTATAGCTCTGTCCCATCAAACACTGACTCCCTGCTCCCTCCACCCCTGTCCCTGGCAGCCGCATGCTGCTTTCTGTCTTTATGACTTTGACTGCTCTAGGGACCTTACATGAGTGGAATCATCGTTTTTTTCCTTTTGACTGCCTATGTCACTTTGCATAATATCCTTAAGGCTCATCTATGTTGTAGCATGTGACAGGATTTCCTTCCTTTTTAAGACTGAATAATATTCCTGTGTGTGTGTATGTGTGTCTACACCACATTTTATTTCTTTCACGTACTTGGATTTTTAAGTATAACCCTGGATGTTAGCCTGTTTGAGATAGACCTGCTTTTCCTCATCAGATTTCCATGTCCTTGGCGTCCATCTTTCCCACGACCAGAAGTGGCGGTTATAGTGCATGTGATTAGAGTCTCCTTAAATATTAAGGACTCGTAATTATTTGCCTGCACGTTTATATAAAGGTAGACATTTTTCTGAAATGAATATATACAGCCGTATTTGGAGCTGTTGTCTGTCACAGAGATTCTCATTTTATGGTAGGCTTGTAGTTGTTGGACCCTGTGTGAGTTTGTGGAGTCAGAAGCTGTCCTGCTTATCTTTGGGTGTTTCCTACTTCTAGCACAGTGTCTGACACATAGCATTTTCTCAACAAATAAGAATTTAATTAACATTATAAAATTATAAACTACTGGGGACATACTCTATTTGACTCTACAGTATAGTTTAAATTGTTTTGGTGAGAGTTTTATTTTTTCATTAGCACTTTTATTCAGATTATAAAATCTGAAGACAAAAAGTTAGATTGTAGCCTCATTGTAGTGAGTTAACCATTGAATAAAAGATTGGAAGCCTGTTGTGAGCAAGTAGTAGGCACACCCCTGACATCCCTTTTTCGTACTCCTAATTTGTTATTAGTTGTAGGACTTGTATTTTAAATGTGTGGTTGAAGAATTTAGTTGGTATTTTCAAAATTGATTAGTAGTAGGAAGAGCTGAAGGATTATTGAAGAACTGAAAATCTCTATGGAGTTCTAATACTTTCTACTCATCTTACAGAGTAAATATTAATAACCTTTTCATTTGTGTAGCCTTTACAGTACACAAGTGCCTTCTCTTACCTGATCTTCCTTGAGCTTCACAATGACTCCATGATGTGGCCGGGCAGTGAGGGATGGCCTTTTATCCTTGAGGCAAGGAGGCTGGGAAGTCTCACTGTGGTCACTTGGCCAGGCCTGGAGCCTCCGCCTTCGGACACTATATAGTTGGTCATGGCTTTCTGTTCCCATCAGTTTTAGATACAGTGTTGTAGAGATTGTTCTTATATATGAACAAAACAGAAACATCTGGCCCAGCCAGCGTGCCTCAATGGCTGAGTGTCGACCCATGAACCAAGAGGTCACTGGTTTGATTCCTAGTCAGGGTATATGTCCAGGTGTGTGGAGGAAGCCGATCAATGTTTCTCTCTCATCAATATTTCTATCTCTCTCTTCCTCTCCTTTCCTCTCTCTAAAATCAATAAAGGATATTAAAGAAAAAAACATAAACATCTAAGAAGCACCCAGTTTTAGTAGAAAGAGGATGTGCTTTGGGAAGGAGGTGGGGTCAGTCCATCCAGTTCCCCTCATTGGCAGAGTGGCCTGATAGGTTACATGTCTCTGAGTTTCTCAGTGACTTGCTAACATGGCCCTCCTCTGAGGAGCATTAAAAAGCGTTAAGCAGTGGAGGCGGTGTATTGGCTTTGGCCATTTGTTTAATCATCTCATAAAGCACTGTCAGTTTTCAGGACATCTGTGTGATTGTTCACGTTTGCCATTTTGAACAATAAAAGTTTCATTAGATTTACTACCTGTTTTTCCCCAGTCTGGTGTTTTTCTGTTTAGCAGAATCAGCGAATTATAGAGTTGGAAGAAATCTTAGAAATCATCCAGGACACCTACCTAATATTACAGATGAAACTAAAGCCTGGAAAGATGTTCTATGCCAACAGTTCCATCACTAGTGGCAGGACCAGAGCCTTCATCCAAGAGCTTTCTCGACTGTCCTGTCCAGTGTCCTTCCATCAACCACAGGGCCCCTGACCTGGGTGGAGAGAGCCACTGTTTGCTATTCTTTCTCTAAGAGATAGATAGCCTTTAGATCAGGGGTTCTCAATCTGTGGGTCGCGACCCCTTTGGGGGTCGAACACCCTTTCACAGGGGTTGCCTAAGACCATCGGAAAACACATATATAATTACATATTATTTTTGTGATTAATCACTATGCTTTAATTATGTTCAATTTGTAACAATGAAAGTGGGGGTCACCACAACATGAGGAACTGTATTAAAGGGTCGCGGCATTAGGAAGGTTGAGAACCACTGCTTTAGAGGTTTTCAGTTTAGCAGCTTAATCTGAGTGCTCATACATCTATAATAATAAAAGTATAATATGCTAATTAGACCCGACAGCCGAACGACCTTCTGGACATCCTTCCAGACGAAGCCGTGGCGGCAGGGGTGACCAAGGCAGAGGCGGTTAGGGGCGATCAGGCAGGCAGGTGAGTGGTTAGGGGCAGGCAGGCAGAGTGGCTAGGGGCGATCAGGCAGGCTGGTGAACAGTTAGGGGCAATCAAGCAGGCAGGCGAGCAGTTAGGGGCAATCAAGCAGGCAGGCGAGCAGTTAGGGGCGATCAGGCAGGCAGGCAGAGTGGGTAGAGGTGATCAGGCAGGCAGGCAGGCAGGCAGCTGAGCAGTAAGGAACCAGCGGTCCCGGATTGCGAGAGGGATGTCCAATTGCAAGAGGGTGCAGGCCGGGATGAGGGACACCTCCCACCCCACTCCCCCACAAATTTTGTGCACCAGGCCTCTAGCTTTTAATAAGGAAAAACAGATGTGGGATGAATTCCTGATGTATAACTTAGTAATTGTGAGTATGATTTTATGGTTCCTAAAACTCTTAAGAGGTTTATATTATATTTGCATTTATAAAATTGTTTTAAAATTACTTTGACAGACTTGGACTTTATCTGTGAGAGCAGAGGAGAATATGAAATGAGGGAGTAGCGGGTTAGGTGTGAGGAAGGGACAGACCCCTACAATAACTAGTGGGTCTAATTTATTAATGTTTTTTAAGTCAAAACTGTTTTCCATATGATATGCATATATCCTTAGTTGTTTTCACATTTTAACTACTTGTTTTGTTTTTTTAATCCTCACCGGATTGTATTTTTCCATTGATTTTTAGAGAGTGGAAGAGAGAGGGGAAGACAGAACTATCGGTGTGAGAGAAATACATCGATTGGTTGCCTTCTGCATACGCCCCAACCAGGGTCCCAGAATCAAACGTGGACCCTTCAGTCCGCAGGCCAACATGCTATCCACTGAGCCAAACCGGCTAGGGCTTAGCTACTTGTTTTGACATTGTGTTCTATTTGCAAATAGAAAGGTCATTTCCTTAGAAAATGCTGACATTTAACTTCAGAACTCATCACAGTTAAATGAATTGTTTGGTGGTGATTGACATGTAATACCTTTTTAAAAGATCATTATGCAATCAAGTGATAAATGAAAAATATTCTCCCTTGTTTAAAAATGTATCCGAGTTAGGGCTAAAGGCTTAAGAAGGCAGAGATAGTCATCACAATTCAGAATGACTTTTTCCTCAAAAATATTTATGTTCAGAACCAGCTGTTTTTAAGTATCAAAATGTTTTTTAAAATATATTTTAATATTTTTATTGATTTCAGAGAGGGAGAGAGGGAGAGAGAAATATCAGTGATGAGAGAGAATCATTTATCGGCTGCCTCCTGCACACTCCCCACTGGAGATCGAACCCACAACCTGGGCATGTGCCCTGACCAGGAATCAAAGCATGACCTCCTGGTTCGTAGATCAACAATCAACCACTGAGCCACGCCGGCTAGGCAAAATATTTTTGTCAAATGTTGTCACTAAGCTGATGGTGGTATTCTTTGTTTGTATGAAGTAGACAGGATTCTTTCCTGAACACATTTTACACCACGTTTGTTAAATTAGTGCTCTTTCTGTGGATTTCAGAGGTGTTGTTTCTTTATTCCAAATTGATAAGCAATTGGCAGTACTGATAAATTCGTTGAATGTCACCCCTCTTCCCCAAGAAATGTCCACCAGCGCCTTCTCTTGGCTTTACCCCCACACTTTGTCCTGATTCCCTCCCTTCTCACATCGCTGCCTTGTCCCACTCTTGGCCCAGCGCTCTCATCCTGTCTCTTCCCCACCCCTAACCTGCTTCTCCCTCTAGCAGCCAGAGTGATCCTTGTAAGAGGTCAGCCATTTTATATTCTCCTCTGCTCTCACTTGGTGCTGTGCCTGAATCCTTACCAAAGCCCACCAGCCTCTTCGGGACCCCACCCTCCTACCCATGCCTGTGCCCATCCACTGCTGCCCTTGGTCAGCAAAATGTTTGCACACACAAGCACACTTCCTGTTCCTTTGTCCGTTTTTTCTCCACAGTACTTCTTATCATCTGACATACTGTATATTCACTTGTCTGTCTACTACCTGTCTCCCCTACTAGAATGTAAACTCCACAAGGAAAGGGACTTTGCTTTGTTCACCACTCTGTTTCGCCAGAGCCTGGGACGGTGCCTGGCAGTTAGTAGGCACTCAATAAATATTTGTTGAATGAATGAGTATATTCATGAAGTGCTAGTTTGTCATAGTCCTACAGTGAAGACATCCTCTTTTAACAAAAATAACATCCATTTTCACTTTTAAGTTTTTATTAAAGCACATTAAAAATAATATTTAAAATGAAAGTTTATCATTTAATTTCAGGGCTTTTATCTAGCTTCAAGATTTTGTAGATGAACTTTACCTGTAGTTGAACTTAAGGCTGACATAGTTTAAATTCCACATATTTATGTTTATCTTCATACCTATATTTAAAATTAAGGCATTGCTAAGAATGAAACATCGATTTATGGAAAATTAATGCTCAGAAGTAGGACTTCTTTTTACTTTTATTTCTCTCAATTATAGGTGAAGTGTTTGACTATTTGGTTGCACATGGAAGAATGAAGGAAAAAGAAGCAAGAGCTAAATTTAGACAGGTATGAATTAACGTACCTTTAGTTTATTAATTTGATAAAGTAATCTCAAACCCTGAAACGAATAGGTGTCTGCACATATAAATGGTTATAGGGCCCATTGGATGGAGCAGGGGTTGGCCATTCAGTTCAACAAAAATTTATTAAGTGCCTTTTGTGCCTAAGGCACTATTCTAGAGATAGCCTTGGTTTCTGTTTCTGGCTTTGTAATTGGGATTTTAGCCTCAGGGGTTTTTTTTGTTTGTTTTTTAACATATTTTTATTGATTTCAGAGAAGAAGAGAGAGATAGAAACATCAGTGATGAGAATCATCAATCAGCTGCCTCTTGCATGCCCCACACTGGGGATCAAGCCTGCAGCCAGGGCCTGTGCCCTGACCAATAATTGAACCGTGACCTCCTTGTTCATACGTCGACCGACGCTCAACCGCTGAGCCATGCCAGCGGGGCTAGCCTCACTCTTAACCTTAGTTTTTGACAGTTAAGCCTTAAAAACCAGAGCCTTTCATAATATCTATGATTATACTAATTAAAACTATTTCCAAGTTTTTAACAATAATAATTACCATTTATTTATTGATCATTACCTGCCAGACATTGGGAAAAGTGCTTTACCTGCATTAACGTAATTCCAGCCGCCTTGTGAGTTAAGGAGTATTATGCTCATTTCCTAGAAATAAGGAAACTGAAGCGCAGGCAGATTAAATAATTCGCCCAAAATTTGATGTCTAGTCCTGTGACATCAAAACTCAAAATTTTTACTCATTAGGTTGTGCTGTTATTAGACTAGGAATCAGCACACTCATTCTGTAGAGGGTGACATAGTAAATATTTTAGGCTTTGGGGGCCGCACAGTCTCTGTGGCAGCAGTTTCACTCGGAAGTTGTAGTACAGACACAGCTGTAGACAATATGTAAATGATGGCTCACATGATTGTTTCCAGCAAAACTCTCTTCACCAAAACAAGTGGTGGCGGCGCTGGCCACCCTGATGCAGAAGAAGGGAAGGGAAGGAGCAGGTACTTCATACTTTCACCTGGACTGTCCCCCCCGGCTACAAGTTCTTTATTTAAATGGCAGGGTAGCCTCATTTCTGTCAGAACTTTGAAATTTTTGTTTTATTCACATATACCAGTAAGATTGTCAAGGTAGAGTATAGATAGGAGCCTTTACAGTTTTCACAGTATCTGGAAAGGCAGTTTTAGCTGATTTTCAAGATTTCTTTTAACATTTGCCTCTCTTAATGTGTTTAGTCTACTATTTATGGTTAAGGGCTTATTTATAAGTTTAATTTTAAAAGCTTAAAAATATTAATGGTACTTGGAATTGAAACCTATTAAATATCAAAGTTGAAACTAATTTTTGTCTATCATTTTACTTCTCTGAGCCTCAGTTTTTCTATTTATAAAAAGAGGAAATTGCCTGGCGAGTGTGGCTCAGTGGTTGAGCATTGACCCACGAACCAGGAGGTCACTGTTTGGTTTCCGGTTTGGGCATGTGCCCAGGTTGCAGGCTCGATCCCCAGTGTGGGGCGTGCAGGAGGCAGCCGATCAGTGATTATCTGTCATCATTGATGCTTCTATCTCTCCCTCTCACTTCCTCTCTCTGAAATCAATAAATAACATTAACACTTTTTGGGGGGGAAAAAAGAAAGTTATACTTGTTGAATTCTGAAGTTCTTTTCAGTTCTGTTATTCTGTTGTCTATGGAAGGAAACTCCAATTTCTCTTTATTACAAAACAAGTCTGGCCCTTTCCATAGCTGTACTAATTTTTATAAATTGGCCACCTAAAAACCATTTTTTTTTTTTTTGCCTTATTAAATTACATTCCTTCCCATTCAGAGGAATGTGTCTGACTTGCAGGCGTTAATGGACTGTAGGTTACCAGCTGAGGAGAGGCGCAGCGGCAGCAGCTCTGAGCCAGGACCCGCCCTCGGGGGCCTTTTGCACTTTACCCCTAACTCCTTCTGCCATGCTGCCCTTCCCCTGGTGGGGCCTGGCCTGTCACAGGGACTTGGACATTCCCCCGATTGTGATTTTTAGTTTTCTTCAGGAATCTGAAGCCTTTATTTGAGGAACCTTAATTGGTCTAGTGCCGTGGTCGGGGGGTCTAGCGGCAAACCGGGGCTCGCGAGCCACATGCGGCTCTTTGGCCCCTTGAGTGTGGCTCTTCCACAAAATACCACGTGCGGGCGCGCACGTACAGTGCAATTGAAACTTTGTGGCCCACACGCAGAAGTCGGTATTTTGTGGAAGAGCCGGTATTTTGTGGAAGAGCCACACTCAAGGGGCTAAAGAGCCGCCTGTGGCTCGCGAGCCCCGGTTTGCCGACCACTGATCTAGTGTCATGAGCAAGGGCGTGTCCCCAAAACAAGTCACGGTGCCAGGTTTATTAGGGGGACCTCCCCCATAAGCCAGTAGAATCACACGCAGGTTACACACAGAGAGGAGGAGCTTATGAGATACAGCGAGTAGAGCAAGCGTCTGGCAGGAAGTCCCAGTCACTGGTGGCGCCTGCAGGTGGAGAGGTGGTGGCAGCATGTCTGGTGAAGCGGGTGTCTGGCAGGGCTCCGAGCTTGACTCGCACGGCCACGCTCTGAGCTCTTACGGCCCCGGCGGCTACCGATGGGTCCTTATCCAGCGTCCAGACTTGTGGTTGTGGGTGTTCAGCCCCTCCCCCGGGTGTTCCTGTTACATCCCACTGCCTCAGTCTTGACTTGGCCCTTGATATGACTGTCATGGCTTCAGTGACTCCATGTTGGATTGTCACAGTGTCCACAAAGCCCGCGCTGCTCTTGCTCTGTGCGTCCGGGAAGGTAGTGTCTGTGCTTGGACAGTGAGTGCCTTGATTCCAGCACTGGCAGTGGGTGCACTCCTTGCTCCTGGTTCCGTGAGAGCTTATTCCAGCCTGGAAGGGCCCAGCATGACAGCGGTGTTTCTCCCGCCTCCATTTCTAATTGCCGCGCCTTCCAAACATTTATAGTTCTCATCACTTCACTAGAAAAAAGGTTTTCTGTTTATGACGAAGTGGAGGGTATGCCACACACACAGTAAAGAACCAGCCCTTCTTTCCGTATCATCAGCAAATGGCCTTGCCTTTTCCCACTCCCTCACCACTCTCATCCAGTTCCCGCTTACGCTGCTTTAATGTTTTGGCTGAGCTCTTGTTCTTTTCAAAGAAAGAGACTGGATTCCTGGTGCCATCTTCTCCCCTCACCTCTACCTTGGTGGGTAGTGAGGTTCTGTCATGTGTGGTTGGAAATGAATTAGGCTTGCATTCCAGTGCTAACCTGGAGAACATCTGGGTTCTCAGCCTTTGGAAGTAACTGCTTCTAGCTTAAAAGCAGATGCAGAAAGCCAAGAATTCATTTAGTTTTTTCAGGTTATTGTGGCATTATTTTAGCTTTGAGTTCTTCGGAGGTCAAAGAAGAAAATTCTTTAATCTCTTTGAGAAAGTGTAGGAAATTGTGAAATCTGATTCAAAAGCAGACCTAAGAGAGAAATGTCCGTATTGGGCGGGAATCAGAAGGAAATTGGATCAGGCAGAAATCAGATAAAAGTTACCTGTGTCCTAGGAAATAAGCCTGTTATGTTCTGGGAAAACAAAGCTCTTTCACTTTCCAGTTTTCCTGTTGACACAGTAGAAACAGCGTTTCTGAGTCGGGTGCTCTGAAACCCGCATGTTGCATTGGAGCCTTGGTGCCTGTGTGAATCAGGAGGTCTGAGCTTCTGAATCTTCACTTCACGGTGAATATTGTGAAGCCCCAGCCCAGCCCCAGCCCCGCTTCTCCCTGCTGCTCATGCTGAGCCAAAATACCAACGGATAGAACAGCCCTCTGAGTTTTAATGTCTAGTGTAGGTGCGTGCATGTGGCTTACAATTCAGATTTGATAATGATTGGGAGAAACAGTGGTATTTTCATTTTAGCCCCAGTTTTGTTTATACAAGCAAAATACATGACCAGAGTAACAGGAGATGTTCTCTCTCTTTGGTGGCAGTACAGGCATATACAGGGTAGGGCAAAAGTAGGTTTATAGTTGTGAGTACGTGAAACAGTGTATTCTTGTATTATTTATTAATTATTGTATTATTTTACATATTTGTATAAACTTTTCTATACTTCATGAGATTTCTATAATGAGCATATGGACTTTTATAATTAGAAAAGGAGACTTTTGAAAGAATTACTAGTAAGTGTGAAATTGTAGCAAAACAATTGATTCAGTGTTAGCCACAGGACTAATGAAAAGCTGACTGAAAGCACAGTATCTGCTGAGAGTAGGAGGGTCCTATTGAGACAACAGCAAAGGTTTTCATGGTACGTAGGTCACATACGTCACACTCTTCTACTTTAATGCAGAGGAAACAGGTCCTTCAAGAAGGGAAGTAGCTTTTGCTGTCATTGAACCCACATCAGATAAAAGGAAGAGAGTGTGGTAGGGAGCAGACTGGCTGGGAGAAAAGTAATTACCAGGAGAACCAACTGGGTGAGACCTGGCCATGATGGTCTAGAACTGCCAGTTTGGCTTGGCGTTGATTGCAGGGCGTGTTAAGGTTGCACCTGAGACATCTGGGCCTGGGCCTGGGGGCAGCCAGGGTCCCTCAGATCCTGGTGGTTTGTTGGGCCCAGGAACCACACTCAAAAGTACTGGCATGTCGAGGAGTAGGGCCCCAGTAGAGGCAGAATTTCCAGTTAATCTAGAGAGAACAGGAAGGACATCGCCCCCATCGCTTCTTGCCTCCCTCCTGAACTTCTTCAAACTAACAAGTTGAAAGCATGAGGAAATTGTATTTAGAGATCCATACAGACATCCAAGGACTGAGTCCCAAGCATGTGTGAGCATCTGTGACGTACTTTCATCTTCATTACGAATCTGCACCAGTGATGACTATTAACGTTGCATCTCTCCTGTCCAGATAGTGTCTGCGGTCCAGTACTGCCACCAGAAGCGGATCGTTCACAGAGACCTCAAGGTGAGCCCCGGAGCCCTCACCAGGGCGCTCTGTTAGTGCATGCGCTTCTCCCGGCAGCCATGACCGCGAGGAGGCATGCATTAGGCTGCTGTTCCGTGTGACAAAATAAATCTTCTAGTAATTGAATCCTTTGATCTAGTTACAGCAAACAGCATTAAAAAGAAAGAAAAGTGAGTTTGTTAGAAGTATTTTACATCACAGTTAAAGTAGCTTGTAGTTGGTTTGTGGAGAAAAACCATCACACCAGCAGACGGCCGGGGGCTCCAGCCATGCAGCCTCACTGGACAGACAGCGGCCTCGGGGCCACCTGGCCGTGCCTGCTGCTCTCCTTCCGCAGTGGCTGCTTGAGCCTCCTTCACCGTCCTCCCCTCTGCCCTCGCTCCTGCAGAGGATCAGGTTTCCCGTTTCACACGGAAATAGAAACATTCAGCAGAAACTCCCTCCCTTTCCCAACAGGCCCTCACTTAGCTGCACCCGCACCCACCCTCACCTCTCACAACTGCCCTCTTGGTTCAGGGCAGAGGGGCGCCTTGCCTGGCCCCGCCTCTGTGTTCGGGTCCTGTCTCCCCCAGGTGCGGCTGCCTTCTCACCCGCAGCATTTACAAAAGCTTGCTCAAGTCTGTGCCACCTTTTACCAAAAACTCTCCGCCCAACTCCCCTTCTGGATCCTCCCTTTTCTCTTCTCTCCTTCACAGCCTTAGTTCTCTAAGCACTGTCTATATTCTGTCTTAACTTGGTCCTCACTTCCTCTCACCTCACAGAATTGTCACCGACTCGCATGTTCCTCTCCGCACCCCCTCACTGCATTCACATCCTCTCTGGTAGCTGCAGTGGCTGCTTGTGAGTTGAAGACCCCATTCCATCCCTCGCCAGAGCTCCCCTCTCCTCTACTACCAGCCACAAGAGGACACGGCCCTCGGGCCCTCAGGCTCAGCAAGCTCGCCGCCTAAAGGTCTTCCTTCCGAAACTGGAATACTCCTTTCTCATCCAGGGGCCCCTCGCCTTTGCTCAGGCATCACTCGGTCCCAGGTCCTTTGCTCCCGTTCCCTACATGTCTCCTGACCGCGCTCTTTCCTGTGCCGTTCCCACTGTCCTGGTTCAGACCGCCAGTGTCTTGGACTTGGTCACCACACCAGCTTCTTGCCTGGTCCGCCTGCTTCCAGTGTGGCCCCTCCCTCCCTCGTGTCCCACACGGCAGCCAGAACACTCTCCGCAAACACCAGTAAGGCTGTCGTTTCCCTGCTTGGCCCCTCCTCAGTGCCTCCCGCTGCCTGGGGTAGGAACCCGAACTTCCTGACCACTGGCCACCCCGAGACCCCAGCCGTCCTCTCTGCCTCTCCCCACACTCTTTATTTCTAGAGCCAACGTTCTCTCTCACCCTCCGGGTTTTCAGGCTGTTTGTTCTGCCTGAAAGTCATCTCTCGGCAGCATACCCACTAGTGGCAACTGAGCCTCCGAGCCGCAGCTTTGACTGCATCCCTTCAGGGAACCCCTCCTGCCCGCCAGGGCTGCCCGTCGCCCCACTCCTGTGTCACAGCACTGAGCACTTACTTTTCTGCTTCTCCCCTTCTAAATCCGGAGCTGCTCCAGGGCAAAGACCCTTGTTGATTGTTATGTATCCAGACACTGACATAGGCCTGGTGTGTAATTGGTAAATGTTTGTTGAAATAATCACTGTGATCTGATTCCTGAGTGAGGTTTACAAATTCCCTCCCCCAATAATTGCCATTATATAAGCATTTAGTGGTTTTATGAAAGGTGGCTGTCCATGTAAAGCTAGTATTCATTTTTTTAAAAGTCTCCTATCAGTCTTAATTGAAAAGGATTATTTATTAAAAGTTTGTGTGCTTTTTTTTTATCATGGGGAATTTGTTTAAGTTATTGCTGGAATGAATTTATACCTCCATTCTCTTATTGGTTGTTAATGTTAAATTAGAAATTCTGATTTACCTTCTTTTTTCGTGGAAAGAATGTTTTCTCATTTTATTCATTAAGATGTATTAACTTTATATCGTTACAAAAGGCTTTTATGAAATGCCTAATTCTATCATAGTGCTAAATATATGTTGGTTAAATTTCATTTTTGTCTTGATGTTTCCCCTCTAGGCTGAAAATCTATTGTTAGATGCTGATATGAACATTAAAATAGCTGACTTTGGTTTTAGCAATGAATTTACTGTTGGCAGTAAACTGGATACGTTTTGTGGGAGTCCTCCATATGCAGCCCCAGAGCTCTTCCAGGGCAAGAAATACGACGGACCGGAAGTAGACGTGTGGAGCCTCGGCGTCATTCTGTACACGCTGGTCAGCGGGTCGCTACCCTTCGACGGACAGAACCTAAAGGTAGAAGCAGCAGCTGCCTCCAGGTTTTTCAGAAAGCTGGAAGGGTTTTATGAAATGATGACTGTTACTAGTTAATGTTTTGTTAGGATGGGGTCGGGGGTTCTTTTTTAACCTCAAACTTGACTCACTAGTTTTCTTTCCTCTCTATCTTCCCAAAGGAACTGAGAGAAAGAGTATTAAGAGGGAAGTACAGAATCCCTTTCTACATGTCTACAGACTGTGAAAACCTTCTCAAACGTTTCCTGGTGCTAAATCCAATAAAACGAGGCACTCTGGAGGTAATCACATAAGTGGAAATAAATAACTTTACAGTCTCTTTAAAGTATTTTTAGAACTTGGCTTGGAAGCTGTGTTGAAAACCGTCCTAGAGCTTTTAAAGCAGGAATTGAAACATTAAAAACTTTTTTAAAGTTACCCTTTGAGCTATAATCAATGAAATGTTGAACGTAAATTTTTCTAAATACTGTGATTATCAGAATGTTTTCTTTTCTGCTACTAACAAGCAGTTCACCTTTCAGCAAATCATGAAGGACAGATGGATCAACGCAGGGCACGAGGAGGACGAACTGAAACCATTTGTTGAACCAGAACTCGACATCTCAGACCAGAAAAGAATAGGTACTTGCTCGGTGCTGTGTGCTGTGTGCACAGTAACATTTCTGCTTTGACTCACATGCCTGCAATGAAAATAAAGGGCAGTTAAGTTATGTGACTCAGCTTATCTGCTTTTTCATGTTTAAGAAGTTTTCTGGTGTCCCTATAATAGCGCTCAGTAACTCAGAAATAAGCCAACTGCCCATTTGTGTTAAATGTGTGGTCTTTTGGGTCAAATAATGGGAATTATTTTACCTTAATAACACAATGATTTTTTTACCCAACAAAATGCATAAATATATTATGCCCTTTTTTTTTTTAGATATTATGGTGGGAATGGGATATTCACAAGAAGAAATTCAAGAATCTCTTAGTAAAATGAAATATGATGAAATCACAGCTACATATTTGTTGTTGGGGAGAAAATCTTCAGAGGTAAGAGTAATCAGAGAAAAAAACTAAAATATCCTTTATGTAAATTATCAGTTTATGTAAAGTGTTTTCTTAGTTTTTATTTTTTTAATATCTAAAACACTTGGTATAGCATTTTTTTTTTTTTAGTTTACCTGCAATAAATCTAATTCTTCTGATCTATATGAGCTACTGTTTTAACTTTAAGACAATAACCTTACTTTCAGAGGGCAGCCACAGAGTCTGTGCAGCCGCCCCAGGAGCCAGAGCTGTCATATCCCCTTTTCCACTTCCCATTGCAACCAATAAAGGCTGTTTGTCGTGTTAAAAATAATAATAATCACCTTAATGGTGATATTGTCACAAACTTGGCTTTCATAAGCTAACCTATAGCTATTCATAGTTTAGAAGTGATGTAAAGTATCAGATGAAGTGAAAAGAGCATTTTAAGTTATTTCAAAAAGCCTAGAGAGCGGATAAATACCTCCTATCCTTTTGTGAGTTTTTCCAGCAGCCAAAACTACACTGTGGCCTGAGATGGGGGCTCTCATCTTTGTACGTTTGATGCTTCTCTCAGTGAGCTGTTTATGAGAGGTTTGTGTGTGATGAGTTTACTTTCCTAATCAACCATCTGGATTCGTGTGTGGTTTGCTCTGTTTTTCTCATTTTCTCTTAGCTCGATGCTAGTGACTCCAGTTCTAGCAGCAATCTCTCACTTGCTAAGGTGAGGCCGAGCAGTGACCTCAACAACAGCACTGGCCAGTCTCCTCACCACAAAGTGCAGCGAAGTGTTTCCTCAAGCCAGAAGCAGAGGCGGTACAGTGACCATGGTAAGCGGAGACCATCCAGTGTGTCCTCTGTGCGTCTCCCTTACACAGGGGCCCCTCACACTGTGCAGGACTCCTGGGGCTGGATTGGGCTTAATGTCTGCCGTCCGCCAGGTGCTGACATGGTACGTTCTCCCTGGTACATTCCATGGCTTTTTTTTTTTTTATCCTCACCCAAGGATATTTTGCCATTAATTTTTTTAAATTATTTTTTTAAAATATGTTTTTATTGACTTCAGAGAGGAAGTGGGGGAGAGGGAGAGAGAGAGCTAGAAACATCAATGCTGAGAGAGAATCATTGATTGGCTGCCTCCTGCACGCCCCCTACCAGGGATTGAGCCCGAAACCTGTCATGTGCCCTTGCCTGGAATCGAACCTGGGACCCTTCAGTCCGCAGGCTCGTGCTTTATCCACGGAGCCAAACCAGCTGGGGCTTCCCATTGATTTTTAGAGAGTGGAAGGGAGCAGGGGAGACAGAGAGAGAGAAAAACATCCATGTGAGAGAGACACAATTGGTTGGCTCCCGCAAATGCCCCGACGTGGGGCTGGGGATTGAGCCTGCAAGCAATGTATGTGCCCTTGATGGAATCAAACCCAGGATCTTTCAGTCCAAGGGTGGATGCTCTATACACTGAGCCAAACCGGCCAGGGCCATTCCATGACTTTTGATGGATAAGGCCTACCTGGGCGGAAATCTTACAACTTGCCCCTCCGGGAGCCCTGCTGCAGTCTCTAGCTCTCTCTGTTCATTCTCTCCCCCTCTCTGCTGTCTAGCTTAATTTTCCGGAGTGCTGGACTGTTCTGTCTTTGCTATCCAGTAGAGTAGCCACTAGCCACATGTGGCTGTTGAGCACTTAAACTGGGGAACTTATTTTCATCTTTGTTAAATAATTAAATTTACACAGCCACATCTGGCCAGTGGCCCATATTGGACAGTGCAGCCCTGAAGAATATTTGACACCCCAGTTTTTTCTTAAGTGTTTTTAAAGTTTGTTGGTTTGCTTTATGTGTTTTTTCTAAATATACTTTTATTAATTTCAGAGAGGAAGGGAGAGGGAGAGAGAGATAGAAACATCAATGATGAGAGAGAATCATCGTTCGGCTCTCACCTGCACGCCCCCCCACTGGGGAATGAGCTCGCAACCCAGGCATGTGCCCTGACCGGAATGGAACCCGGGACCCTTCAGTCCACAGGCCGACAGTCCATCCACTGAGCCAAACCAGCTAAGGCTGTTTTAAAGTTTTGACCTGTGTCATTCTTAGCCACACTAGCTGTTATTGAGTCTATACCTGCTCTTCTTTAAAAAAATAATTTTTATTTATTTCAGAGAGGAAGGGAGAGGGAGAGAGAGAGAGAAACATCAATAATGAGAGAGAATTGTTGATCGGCTGCTTCCTGCACACCCCCACACTGGGGATTGAGCTGGCAACCTCAGCATGTGCCCTGACCAGGAATCGAACTGTGACTTCCTGGTTCATAGGTTGACACTCAACCACTGAGCCACGCCGCCCGGGCTAAATGCCCTCGCTCTTAAAATTTTCACCATAGAAGTGAATCCTTTATGAGACTTAGGAACCTCAAGGGTATGCTCACCAAACTTGATAGTTTCGCCCTCAAGGCAATACCAGGTGTTGGAATCCAGAGACTGAAGTGTGTGTGTGTGTGTGTGTGTGTGTGTGTGTGTGTGTGTGTGTGTGTTTATTTGCCTGTAACTAAATGTTTATGTTGCAGGTAACTCCTTTACATCCAGTATTCTAGGATTCAGGAATCAAATCTATGTTGGCCTGGTCCTAACTTTTAAAAATACATCATCATATGGAACATTCATTTATCTCTTGTTCAGTTCATTTCCCTTCTCTGGACATTGTCCACCTCCATTTTTCCAACTTGAGAGCTGGCACTTAGAACTGCACAGAGTGTTCTAGGTGTGGACAGTTTTGGTTTTGTACCAAAGTGATGATCCCTTACTCATCTCCCATTTCTTTTTGCTGGTGCCATAATTTGGGCTGACGCAGCACCTTGTCCTGATACTGTCAGTAAACTGCCCATGTGTCTGCTGTGTGAGGGTCTTAGTGTTTGGAACCTGGTCTGACATTTAAGAGGGAACTCTTTTTTATTGCAGCTGGACCAGCCATCCCTTCCGTTGTGGCATATCCAAAGAGGAGTCAGACCAGCACTGCAGATGGTGACCTCAAAGCAGACGGCGCTCCCTCCAGGAGGGCAGGCAGCAGTGCAGGCGGAGGCAAGGGAATGGCTCCAGCCAGTCCCATGCTTGGGAATGCGAGCAATCCCAACAAGGCGGACATTCCTGAACGCAAGACAAGCTCCACTGTCCCCAATGTAAGTGCTGTTGACCTCGAGAGCGCCGGGGATTGGCGGGTGCAATGCTCCCTCTCGGGGAGCCAGCAGACCCTTTATGTCAAAGGCACTTTCTGGTGATTCCATAAACATTTGCTGAGCTTTAGGCTGTGTCAGAGGCTGAGAAGTGGAAAGACCTCATAGTCTAACAGGAGAGGAATCCAAATGAAGGCCGAGCAGACAGGTGATCACACACGGCGCTCTGGGGGCGCGGACTGCCTGTGGGCCAGGGATGGGGGTGTGCACTGCATTTTCAGAGTTTATTCCAGTAAAGAACTTGGACGGCATCCTTACGGGTGCCAGGGCCTGTACTAGGTGCTTTCTCACGTGTTAACTAAATTTTAGGGTGAAGAAAAGTCAGGTAATTGCCTGAAATTACACTGCTGACCTGAATCTCTCTCTTATTCTCTGCCCTTGATGAAATCTCACCAGGGAGCAAGTAGTATTTATTAAACGAAATGCAATCTACTCGGCTTCAGAAACTTTTCCATTAAATGAAATGTGTCCTGTCTGACCCAATGTAGGAATTGCTTTTAGCCTCGTAAAGTGATTTTAGGGAGGAGTCACAGAGAATGAACAATCTTAAGGACATTCTGTGGCCATGCTCTTCTCTACACACTGAGCAATGGCACAGCCCTCCTCCGCCCTGATGAACCCTGGAGTGAGGGCCAGGTGCGTCTCTGCTGCTCCCGGGAGGCTTGGCTGTGCCTCCTGGGATTCGAGGGCTCATCAAGGAGCCCAGAGGGTTCTGCTGCTCCTCTGATCTTGGGCTTTCTCCCAGCAAACCCTGTGTGACAAGGTTTTTTCTTTTGGCTTCCTAACTCCATAAGATCGGGCTGTCATTCCTTAGCCCTGCAGTTTAAATTCAGCCTCCAACTTTTGGTTACATTCTCCAGAGGAAGGTAAGAATCTTGTTCTTTGCCTTCATAATGCTCCATCCCTATCACCCTACTCGTCTGCACACCGCCCTTTTGAAAATATATACGAGCATTATCAGTCACCTGCATTTGATTATCCATTAGTCTTTGGAGTTTACTGTGCATGGTCTGCTCAGCTGTATTAAAGGTGCCTGTTTTATCTTTTTTTTTTCTTTTAAGAGCTATTATTTTTCCCCTTTTTAACCCTCACCTGAGGATGGATTTTTAATTGACTTTGAGAGAGAGAGAGAGAGAGAGATTGATTTAAACACATTGATGTGAGAGAGAAACATGGATCAGTTGATTCCCATACGTGCCCCAACCGGGAATCAAACCCACAACCTGGGTATGTGCCCTGAACGGTAATCGAACCTCCAGCCTTTTGGTGCACCAGAGGACGCTCCAGCCGACTGAGCCACCTGGCCAGTGTTTATCTTTGTTAAAAATTGTTCTTATCTGATTAAATATCTTAGTTATAACTTTCATTCTTTGCTTTTTTACTTTGAAAGTATCAGCTTTTAAAAAAATTGATGTGAAATTAAGGTGACATCTCATTGACCATTTTAAAATGTAGGGTTCAGTGTCATCTGGACGTTCACAGTGTTGTGCAGCCACCACCTCTCTCCTGCCGAGACTCCAGCACAGCAGGGAACGCTGCTTTGCAGTGCCCTCCACTCTCCTCTCGCCCCTCCCCCTGCCCCTGGCAGCTTGCTCTCCCTGTGGAGTGGCCTGTTCTGGACATTTCCTGTAATTGGACCCAGACCATATGCGTCCTTTGGGCCTGGCTTCTCTCACTCGGCATCATGTTTTCAGAGTTCAAGCTGTGACCTCTGTCAGTGTTTCACTCTGAACAAACATCGGCTTTTCATTGATGGACAGTTTGCTTGTTTCTACTTTAGTTAATATGAATACTATTGTTATAAACATTTATGTACAAATTTCTATGTGGACTTGGCTTTCATTTCTCTTGGGTTTAAACCTAGGAATGAACTTGCTGGGTCATAGGTAATTCTGTATTTGACTTCTGGAGGCATGGCCCAGCTGTTTGCCACAGCGGCTGCACCATTTTGCATTCCTGTCATATATGAGCTCCTGCTCTCCACAGCCTTGCCAACACGTCTTTTCCATGTTTTACTACGGCTGGCCTAATGGGTGTGAAGTCATTGTAGTTTTGATTTACATTCCCTTAGTGACCAGTGTTGTTTGGCATCTTTTCATATGCTTGTTGGACATTTGTATGCCTTCTTTTTTTTTTTTAATATTTTTTTATTGATTTCAGAGAGGAAGGGAGAGGGAGAGAGATATGGAAACATCAATGATGAGAGAGAATCATTGACTGGCTGCCTCCTGCACGCCCCCAACTGGAGATCAAGCCCACAACCCCGGCATGTGCCCTTGGCCAGAATCGAACCCGGGACCTTTCAGTCCACAGGCCGACACTCTATCCACTGAGCCAACCTGCGAGGGCTGTATGCCTTCTTTGGAGAAATACCTATTCAAGTCCTTTGCCCATTTCTAAATTGGTTGAGTTTAAGAGTTCTGGAAATCGAATTCGCAACCTTTTGGTGTGCAGGACAACGCTCCAACCAACTGAGTACCCAGCCAAGGCTAGTTTTATAGTTTTAACTCTGATATTTACATATTTAATTTTTATTTGTACGTTTACCTTATATTTATAATACTTGCTTTTTAATTTTCATTTTGAAACTATTAGCTTTTAAAACAGTGGATCTTTGTCTCGATCTTTAAGTAATCCGTGAGTTATTACTGATGGATTATGGCAGCCAGCGTTTCACAGTCACTCTATATAGCCACTCTTCCTCCTTTCTGCCAGGAGTGAGGGGTTGCTGCCTTTATCCCCTTTCTGATCCTTCTGCCAGTACTGTTGATATTTTAGTGATTTAAAGACTGGATATTCATGTTTAATTAGGAGAGGTGTTTTTTTTCTCAGTATACTATGCTTAATTATTAAATAGTTTAAGACAAAAATGCCCCCCCCCTTTTTTTAATAGAGTAATACAGCATCTGGCGGAATGACACGGCGAAATACTTACGTTTGCAGTGAAAGAACTACAGCTGACAGACATTCAGTAATTCAGAATGGCAAAGAAAGCAGGTAGGAATTTTACCTGTTTGCAAGAAGTTTGTTTTTCCCAAGAGAAATGGAAGCATATTGTTTACTTCTCAGTTTTTATAATCAGAATTCAAATAATAATGGTAAGTATTCTCTAACAGTGAGTTAAATTTGAATGTGAATTTTTAGGAAGATACTGGAACTCCCAATCCCTCTCACTGTCCAGAACTTGTCCTCCTGGCCAACTGTATGCGATGACTAAAGGGGTTGAGTTAAACCAGGGAGCTTTGCCAGAGGAGGTGGGTAGTAAGCTGCGGTTTAGTTGTAGGATAGTGAAGTCAAGATCATTTGTGCACATGAATAACTTGATCAAGGCTGAAAGGGGGAAAGAGAAGGAGCCATGCTTTTGAAGGATGTGGATCACAAGGTGGGGACAGGGAGGGTGGTGGACCTTCAGCTACAGGTCCGCAGTTTGCCAGAGGGGCCAGGTGGACCAGTGTTACCATAGTCTCACAAAGTACTGGAGTGTGCAGTCTTCTGAATGACTTGGATCTGGTGGATAGGCGAGCATCCGTAGAATAAGCATGATTTAAAATACTAGCAGTCATATGTAAGTAAGGAGAGAGTCGTGCAGCTTTCTTGGGGTTACAAAATAAATAGAGTTGGAAAAGTGAGAGGAAGTGGGTCCAAAGACCTTGGGGTAGAGTTAGTTTGTTGTGGGAGAGAAGAGAGAGAAGATGGAATGGTAGAACACAGTCCCCAGGCTGGGTGGATTTACTTCTTTTTGGAAGAGTGGTGTATAAACTAAATCCAGTGTGGTGAGCAGGGAAGGTTCGGAGTAGAGATCTAGAAATAAATCCACATCATCTGTCATTGACACCTGACCTCCTAACTTGAACACTGTTTGGTCATGTCCCATTCCCATGCCCAGCATCACAGTTGGTTCTTCTTTTTTTTCTCCCGTTCACTTTCTGAAATTGTACTGTAAGCTTTCTGTTTCCTTTAGGTCGCATTAGTCACATGAAATGTTTGATCGCTAACTTCTGCGACAGCTAAGCAAAGATTCTTCTTTCTTCCTTCATCCTTAAGACCAGACTGTAGTATTTATCATTCCTTCTTCCATAGACCGCTTAAATTTAACTGATATGAAGGTAAAAGCTTATGTAAGGTTATGTTGATTATTTATGGAATTTCTTTTTTTTCATCCTCACCTGAGGATATTCTTTCTATTGCTCTTTTGAGAGAGTGAAAGGGAGGGAAGGCGGGGGCGGGGGGCGGGGGGAGGTTGGGAGGGAGGGAGAAGCAGAGAAAGAGAGAGAGAAACATTGCTGTGCGTGAGAGACATTGATTGGTTGCCTCCCAACTGCGCCCTGACTGGGGCAGGAAATCAAACCTGAAACTGAGGTACATACATACCCCTGGCTGGGAATTGAACCTGCGACCCTTTGGTCCGAGGACCGATGCTTTAACCACTGAGCCATACCGTCCAGGGCAATTATTCATTGAATTTCTAGAAATATTTACGTTACAGTATTCTCTTTTCTGATTCCTATGTGTGTGCTTGTTTTAACATTGCCTCTTTCCTTATGATTAAAAACTATTAATAAATTGTATAGCAACTGGGCTAGATAGCTTACAAATACTAATTGATATATTTTTAATAGTAGTCTGTGCTGGTAAATTTTATTTTATTAGTTATATTCTCAAATCTATAAATTTCTCCTAGTTCAAAGTACTTTAATAGAAGATATCAGTAGAAGACTTAATTAGGCAGAAGTTTCTCATCTGTTACGGATTTTAGTCTGTAGAGCTAGGAAAAAGTGGTTTCGTGGCCCTTCTTCCTCTTTTCATGAGTTCTTCTCAATTGTTGAACTATTTATCAGATTCATTTTGAACTTTAGAATGTATAGTTCCCTGAGGTACAGTCAGACTTTTTAAAATATATTTTTATTGACTTTAGAGAGGAAGAGAGAGAAACATCAGTGATGAGAGAGAATCATTGATGGGCTGCCTCCTGCATGCCCCCTACTTTGATTGAGCCCAAAACCTGGGCACGTGCCCTTCCCGGGAATCACCCTCTTCGTTCACAGGTCAACGCTTAACAACTGAGCTACACCGGCCCGGCCAGTCAGACTGTTTAAGAGGCTTATGTTAAGCCCAAGATCTGCCCCCCCCCCCCCCCATGTGTGTGCACATGCTCTTCTATTTCCTCTTGTCTGCAGTGCTTCAGTTCACCTTGGAGTCACTGCCTGTCTGCTTTGCCTGCAGGCACTGTCCTCACTGGGGCTGACTCCTTATCCTGACGGGGCCTCATTGCTTCTGGTAGCATCAGTCTTTGCATTCATTGCAGCACTTTGCGTCTAAAAGTGTTGTCTTTATCTTTAACCAAGCAGAGTTTCAGTGCCAAACCACACGAGACAGGGCCCATAATTTTAGAATAATATCTGGATGTTCTTTTCCTTTTTATCTTACAAATAAATTAAAAGTGGATTTTCAATAATGTGGAAAATTATTGGAGGTTCGAGTGCCAAACTGTAGTGGTCATACTTTTTACTTTCAGTTAAGGCAGCAAATGTGACAACTTTCTCATCTTTAAAATGGATGCATGAGTCATAAATTAGATGCACGGAGCCTTCTCTATGCACAGCTGACTTCTTAGGCAGACTGTTGCTTTTTCCTCTCCCATATGCTTATCTTATTCCTTGACAAAACCGTACTGAGCTGCACGGTCCCTGGGCTATGCAACTTCTGAAAGGACCTAAGGTCTGTTTTCAGCCTTGACTATGTGGGGCTTTTTCTTACATATGTGAATGCTTATACAGAATGCCAGCATGAGAGTGATCATGGCTGATGGAAACTGTACGGGAGATTAGACCACAGGCTGTCCACATGGCTTCGCCAAGCTCTTCAGCTCCCTGCCGCATTCCACTTTGAGCATGGGATGCTCCAAGGCTTAAAGCCTCACCAAGTGTATCTCTTGCCAAGCAATACAATTTATTTTAATAGTTTTTTCATTTTAAAATTAATTTTATTCATTGATTTTTCATAGTGCATTCTTTCTGTTTTATCAGCTTTACTGTGTGAAAAGTAAAGCCAGTCCTTGGTGTGTAGTGGAGAAAAGGTATATAGCACATCTTGGTTTTGGCACGAGGCACATGAGTAATTTTCTAATTAAGACTATTATTTTGAAAGTAGGTGTGAAGTCAGACTGCTTTTGCTATAACCCTGATGTGGTTATTCCACCTTCAGATGTCAGTCTCTCAAAATGGCCCATTCCAGCATCGACTAGCAGTCAGTGTAAACCGGGCCCATTCCAGCATCGACTAGCAGTCAGTGTAAACCAGGCCCATTCCAGCATCGACTAGCAGTCAGTGTAAACCGGGCCCATTCCAGCATCGACTAGCAGTCAGTGTAAACCAGGCCCATTCCAGCATCGACTAGCAGTCAGTGTAAACCGGGCCCATTCCAGCATCAACTAGCAGTCAGTGTAAACCGGGCCCATTCCAGCATCGACTAGCAGTCAGTGTAAACCAGGCCCATTCCAGCATCGACTAGCAGTCAGTGTAAACCAGGCCCATTCCAGCATCGACTAGCAGTCAGTGTAAACCAGGCCCATTCCAGCATCGACTAGCAGTCATTGTAAACCGGGCCCATTCCAGCATCAACGAGCAGTCATTGTAAACCAGGCCCATTCCAGCATCAACTAGCAGTCATTGTAAACCAGGCCCATTCCAGCATCGACTAGCAGTCAGTGTAAACCAGGCCCATTCCAGCATCGACTAGCAGTCAGTGTAAACCAGGCCCATTCCAGCATCGACTAGCAGTCAGTGTAAACCAGGCCCATTCCAGCATCGACTAGCAGTCAGTGTAAACCAGGCCCATTCCAGCATCGACTAGCAGTCAGTGTAAACCAGGCCCATTCCAGCATCAACTAGCAGTCATTGTAAACCAGGCCCATTCCAGCATCGACTAGCAGTCAGTGTAAACCAGGCCCATTCCAGCATCGACTAGCAGTCAGTGTAAACCAGGCCCATTCCAGCATCGACTAGCAGTCAGTGTAAACCAGGCCCATTCCAGCATCGACTAGCAGTCAGTGTAAACCAGGCCCATTCCAGCATCGACTAGCAGTCAGTGTAAACCAGGCCCATTCCAGCATCGACCAGCAGTCAGTGTAAACCAGGCCCATTCCAGCATCGACTAGCAGTCATTGTAAACCAGGCCCATTCCAGCATCGTCGACTAGCAGTCAGTGTAAACCGGCCCCATTCCAGCATCGTCGACTAGCAGTCAGTGTAAACCGGGTGTGAGGAGGTGGCGTCACATCTCCATCGTATCATCATCCTGTCAGCGTCCTATGGATTTACTGTGGGCCTTTAGTCACTTAGCACAGACACTGACTCAGCGCTCAACAAACATTAGCTTTTATTACTGATCGTAAGTGTTCGTAGGTACATGGAAGAATTTCCTTAGTTTACACTGACTACAATCTCTCAACTTAGTGATGTTGCTAACCACCCTACAGGATGTGGGCGCCATCTTGCTTGCTATGTGCTTTTGGGTAGCTCCAGGAGACTGTTGAAAATGTTTTCACTTGAGAACCCCCAAGAATTAGTGGGATGTCATTCGTTATAGTAAAGCACAACAGAAGTTTTCCAGAGAAGTTGTAGGTATTTGATGTCACAGGTAAATTTTATGGTTGGGAAGTTGCTCTGGACTTAACCCATTTATGCATTTGTCCTGCATCAGGCCCAAGGACTGAGCAGAGGGTGTTTGATCACAGTTACAACAGATGTCTCTTGGTTATATTTTTAATTCTGCTTTTGCCTAATCACTCATACGCTTTGATTCAGCAACCAAAACTATTCATATCATAATGTTCTGGTCTGGGATAGATGTCATATTAAAATGAAAATTCCTGTCCATCAGTAATCATAAGTGGGTTAGAGTTTAAAATAAAAATTACAAAAAGATAATCAGACATAAATACAAAGCAACTTTTAAGTTAAGGTTTATTTAAAAACTAGGGTCCCAGTGCACGAACTTGTGCACCTTGAAAGGAACTGTGGACTGCAAGGCTGCGGTGGGCATGGGGGCAGGTCTCGGCCCATCCTCTGTGCTCCTGCCCACCCCCTCCCGCCACGGCCCCCTGTCCCCTCTCTGCTGGCAGCCCTGTTCCCGCTGCTGCTTCCACGTGTTGAAGGCGACAGCCCCGCTCACACCTGCTGACGGTGCAGAGCAGCGGGTGTGAGCTGGGCCGGTGCCATCAGCAGGTGCAAGCGGCAGCACTCGCACCCACTGACAGAGCCGGCGCCAGGCGGGACCGTGGCTTTTTGTTGTTTTGTGGTACAACATATATTAAATTTCTAAAAAATAATCCACTAAGTGCCCCTAAGATTAGTATGTCAAAAAATTTAATAATCTATCATGAAACTATGATTTACACTTCCTATTTAGGAAGGTCTCTAACTTCAGCGTGTCTGTCCAGGCTCCTTTCTCACTTGCATGCCTTGTAGATCTTGCCTGCACTGGCCAACCAGTGACGGCATGCCTCGTGGGGAGTAGATTGTGCAGCCTTACCCAGTACCTCACCAAAAGCCCTTTCCTGCCCCAGGGCCTGCGGGCCATTTCTCTTCCCCAGGGAAGGAGCCGGACAGCCCTGCCTTCCTTACAGCATCTGTCCATCAGCTCCCAGCGTGGGCGAGACCGTGACAGCCGCTGGCGGGGGGTAAAGGGTGCTGACCCTGGCCCTGCCCTGAGCAGATACAGAGTAGAAAGAGTTGTATTTATCTGTAACTTGTTAAAAATAAAGTTATACGTATGTCTATGTATGTCTGTATGTATTGGGGACAAGTAAGCATTTCTTCACGTAGTTGAATCCTTTAGGACTCTGTGTGGCAGGTGACAGGGCCCAGTGCGTTCAAGCTTTCATGAAACAGGTCATCTCTGCCTACAACTAGAAAGTGCAGGGACAGTTGGTGCAGCTCCTCGTTCTGTCCTTCCTGTCCTGGGTCCCTGGTTGGGCCCAGTAGGATCAGACTTACCGTCTTCCCACACCCAGGAAGCCTGGGTGTCTCCTCCGTCCCTGTTGGTCTGACTCTAAGCCTGTCACTGCCGGACACAACTTGTTGTGGGGTGGAGTCAGCAGCATCTGGGGCCCAGGAGCCTCCCCCCTAAAGCAGGATTCACGTGTGTGTTTTTGTCATAGGGAAAGGGAGTGCAGAGTGGCAAAAACACAAAACCGGATCTATTTTTATGTTTCTGTGGCATTTGTTTCCAGTATGTCTATGACTGTGGTAGAGCCACTCTCCCAAGTCAGAGGGCAAAATTCTCAAAAATTCAGGGACAAGAAGGTCTTATTGAGCAGTTTATTATTGGTAGTCCTCATAGTGGGGCCACCAAAATTCTAGTGCGCATTTCATTGACCTTCCTTTCCCGTCAGGAGAGCACTTAGCCCCTGCACGAGCCACAGTTCTCTGCTGGCCGAGTTCTGGGAGGTGACGTAGAAGGTTAAGCCTGGAGAGAGGGCAGGGGCCAGGCTCTGGGTGCTTAGGATGCTACCTGGGTGCCAGGTGAAGAGTTTGAACTTCATCCTAAACGCTGTGCTTTTGAAAGGTTATGAGTGACAAGGTCGGGTTTATATGTTAGGCAGCTCACTGGTGGACACATTGGAGGGCGTGTGGGTGAAGGCCGGGGGACCAGTGAAGACAGGATGGGCCCTGCCTGTGAGGAGATGGGAGAGGTGGCTGGGCTGGCTGAAGCACTGCTAGGGGTTGACACCCACAGGACAGCACCGCTGCTCTGGATGGTCGGGCAGGAGGGATGGAACGGGCGGCTCCAGGACTTGAAGACCCGGAGGGATTTCTGCCGAAAGACACTGAAGGTACGGCCGGAGCTCTACATCCGACTCTCCTTAAAGGAAAGAAACCGCCCTCGGCTGTGCCAAGGACACGCTGGCGCTGGGATGAAGTGAGGTCACGGTTCTGTCCCGCAGCATGTGCCAGGGCAACTGCGGGCAGGAAGCCACTCTGCCTCTCTCTGTACACAGCTCATCTGCTCATTAGTTCCACCTGGAAAAAGGGGGCCCCTTGACCCCTTAGGGATTTTGACTTGTTTATGAAGAAGTGAATGTCCAGTGAGTAGGAAGATTCTCAACTCTGGGAACAGGTGGGGAGCAGTGTGTCTGTGCTCGTCATGGGCCTGACCACATGGGCTCTCTGTAGAGTAGGCGCTGCCGCACACAGCTCAGAAGACCTTGTCCCTCTGGCATAAAGACCCAAACGTGGAAGATGTCTTCTTTCCTCTAAAGCGAATACACTTTCAAAATTACTGCTGGGGAGGGGGGGAGCTACAGGTTAGGAGGTGCTCCGGAATCCCCGGAACTATTTAAGAGGTTTTGTTCTGAGACGGTTGGGGAGGAAGCTGTGCTTTAAACCACAGATTGCTCTTTGTCGCTGGTCCATCACATCGTTGTTTCTGCCTCTGCCCAAACCCCACCCCCTCCCAGCCTGACAGAAACGTTCGCTTACACAGCTAGCCCCGCCTCACCTGCACCACACCTCCCACCTGGCGGCTGAGACATCAGAAGTCGATGTCCATGCCAGCCTCTGGGCCCCCCAAGATGCTGTTACCTCCACTAGACAGTGAAGGAGGTAACGTCCAGGCTGTGTAAGGAAAATGCGCCTTCCTCGCGGCACCAACGTGTACCCGCTGCTTCCTAACTCGCGCTGTGGATTTCATAGCCCAGGCTCGTCACAGTTGTCCACAGTGTGCTTCCTGAGTGTGTGTTAGTCCCGCACATCCTGTCTTGTGGTGGCCTCGGTCATCGGTGTGTCTTCTTGCTTTCGCACCCTACAGATTGGGGAGGACCCCTTTCTCCAGGTCGCGTTCCGCGTGTGGCGTGTCACAACAGCTATGCCATCGTGCGCGTCCAAAACTTTTCAGTTGCTTGTTCTTCAATTTCACTGGCATAGCCTTTCTTTCTTCCATATGGGCACGGGCCTCTGCATGGGAGCAATTTGAGGGGGAAGCAAAGGAAGAACACTTGAGTTTCAAGCCATGCTATGTCCTAGAATTTCCCCGCATTATCTTGTCCTGGGAATGTCTGCTGTTCCCTTAAACTCCACAAGGCTTTGTTCCGTTACAAATGATTCCTCAGGTCCCCTTTCCCATTCAACTTACTTTTGCTTCTCAGTCCTGTGAAACACCCCTGGGGTCTTGTTTTGTTAAAGCTGGTTCTCTCCACTTTAGATAAAAGGTATATTGTAACTGAATGTTTGTGTGCCATGTTTGCCACAAAGACAGGATTTGGTGAATGAAATGTAAAGCTCTGTGCTTCCTCATCTTCTAGCACTGTTCCTGACCAGAGAACCCCAGTTGCTTCCACACACAGCATCAGCAGTGCGGCCACCCCGGATCGCGTCCGCTTCCCCAGGGGCACTGCCAGTCGCAGCACGTTCCACGGCCAGCCCCGCGAGCGGCGGACTGCCACCTATAACGGCCCACCCGCCTCGCCCAGCCTGTCCCACGAAGCCACGCCGTTGTCACAGGCTCGAAGCCGAGGCTCCGCTAATCTATTCAGTAAATTAACCTCAAAACTCACAAGGAGGTAAGTGCCAGGTGGAGCTGGTGGTTTGCAGCAGGAGGAGACATGTCTTCTGTGTGTGTGAAGCCAGCCTGGCTGCAGTTCATTTGTCTTTAGCTCATGTTTTTCTGGTTTCTTTCTTTAACTAGACTGAAAGGTTTTAGAAGAGGATCCCAGGAAACGTTTCCCAGCACTTGGGAGGTCGTGGCTCCTTACTGTTCCTTGCATCACACTTTTTAAAAAATATATGTTTTTACTGATTTCAGAGAGAGGGAGGGAGAGATAGAAACATCAATGATGAGAGAGAATCATCGATCGCCTGCTCTTGCACACCCCACACTGGGGATCGAGCCCGCAACCTGGGGATCGAACTGTGACCTGGTTCATAGGTCAATGCTCAACCAACCGGCCGGGCTGCATGACACATTTGTCTGCATAGATGGTCAGTTTGGTGGAGCAGAACCCCAGACCAGGGCAGGCAGGGCTGGCGCTCTGTGAGCGCTCACCAAGAACGACACAGTTCCTCTTCTCCTTTCACTTCGTTGTCACTGAGGAGCACTAAGTGTCTTAAAGTCTGAGTCTTGCACTTGTGCTCTCTGTTGGTCTCAGTGAATTATAGTAAGAACAAGGTACCTTTCTGAAATGGTGTAGTTATGCGAAAAAAATCTCCGGTTTGTGCTCAGAAGGAAACTAGTATCTGGTCGTGTATGAAATTCTTCATGTGTTCAGCAGGCTGTCATTCCGGGCCTTGGGACATGTCTGTGGATCCCTTGAGGTATTTTAACTTATGTCCATAATCGAGCTGTAGAGGTTGCAGATGCCTAGAAACATTGGCTGCTACTAGAGGAAAAGGGAAAGATGCCACTTCGTACCAGCAGCAAATAGTCAAAGGCACCTTTAGCCAGGACCTCACCAGGACGCCTGAGAGCCCTGCATGTCCAGGATGCCCGAGAAACTGAGCCGTCTCGCTGTGCACTCGTGTGTCCGGGTGTCCTGCAGGTTTACCTGCTTCAGACCCTCCTGTTCGTCTGTCTGCTCAGCACAGCAGTGCATCTCCTCAGGGTCCAGAATGGTTGGCGCCTCCTTTGTGCCTCACTCCCTCTGGCCCATTAGCTTGCTGCTCAGTTTCATGGGGCCTTTGTATTTAAACTGTAAGTTAAATACCACTTTATAAATCTCCTTTATTCCTCACATAGTTTTATTTTAGATCAATCATCTAAAAGTTAGACGAGTCACTTTAAACTGTTCCCCAGATGATGTTTGTTACTGAGTACCCGATGAGGGAGGACTTCTGACGCCAGGAGCACTGACTAGGGCCTGAGCAGTCAGAGGTTCCCGCCTGCCTCTCACTCTCTTCTGGCCCCTATGCTGAGACTCCGTGCTCCAGGCTGGGCAGAGAGCAGATGTTCTAAAGGGTCTTGCCAGGTTTGAAGTCCAATCCAGGAAGAGTTTTTTGACCCCCCAGAATAATTCACTCCTTCCCTTCAGTGTCACCCCAGGCCTCCCTGTCCCCCGCTCCCTCCTGGGGACTGGGCTGAAATGGAATCGGCCGCTGAAACGTGGGTGGTAGGAGATGGCGCTGGGTGTCATTCCCTTGGCTGTTTCCCTCCCTGGCCCTGCTGCCTGCTGTCACCTGGTGGGCTGCCCTTTGAGCACAGAATGGAGGTGCAGCAGTCAGGTCTGGCTAAGCACTAGTCATAGCGGTCAATGTAGTGGCCCTGCACTTTGGTCTGTTGTGGGCCCATCATTAAAATCCTTGAATTTATTTAATTATCTCCTTTGTGCTTTGTTTTAAAAAATAATCTTAAGCCCAGCTGGCGTGGCTCAGGGGTTGAGCAGCGACCTATGAACCAGGAGGTCTCGGTTCAATTCCTGATCAGGGCACATGCCTGGGTTGCGGGCTCCATCCCAGTGAGGGGCATGCAGGAGGCAAACCGATTGATGATTCTCTCTCGTCATTGATGTTTTTATCTCCCTCTTTCTTCCTCTCTGAATCAATAAAAAGATAATTTAAAAAAATAAAAATCATCTTGATACATGTACTATCATTGATAAAAATTTTTGACTGCTTTCTGTGCACTAAGATAAGTAGATGTCTGTAGAATTTCAGGTATAGCTGTACTCATTTTACATATATAAACACACACACACTCATCAATCTCCACAGTCTACCCTGTGAAGTAGATATCACTCAATTTTATAGAAGAAACTGGAGATGTGGTTGAGAGATATGGGGCACATGTTTAAGATTCTAACTAAGCTTATTTCATGTATCTGAATCGAACTTGGAGGTTGAGGTTTCTTGTTTAAAAATTCCAGGGGGTCATCTTGTTTTAGTTTCCACCTCCACATTTTCCAGAAAGGTCATCGTCTTCTGTTTGCAAGTTTGCAGGCTGAGGTCTGGAGTCTCCTTGGTGCTCTCCTTCAGATGTAGTCAGTTTATTCGTAAAGACAGTCGGTCCTTCTGCTGTAGTCTTCTCAGTGTCCGGGCCTCCCCTAACAGCTATAGCTGTGTTCAGGTCCCTGAAAGGCTCGGGTTGGCACTTAGAATCTGCACAGGAGACCTGCCCTGGTGCGGTGGGCAGAGAGCAGGCCCCAGGAAACCTACGCCCAGCTCTGCCCAAATGCCCTGTAGTTTGGGCGAGCTGTGGGCCCTGCCACCTCTGAGGCCCTGTGCACTCGGCAGGAGTGAGGTGAGGCCTCAGGCCTGCAGCTTCCTGCTCTCTCTACCTCAAGGGATTCGTGGGAGGAAAAATTAGAAAAGCAGTCCTAGGTCCTTGACCCATAACCCTGACTTTCCTCAGGTAGAAAACTCAGGAATGAAAATACATTTTAAAGACCTTTTAATCAGTTTTCAACTAAAACAAACTGTTGAATAATACTGCCTTCATGTAGTGCTTAAATATTTACAAAACCTTTTCAATGCATGATCTTCTCTACTTGCTGTGTACCACTTCTGATCTGGTTATGAAGTGCTTGGTTGTAGTACCTACAGTAGTTAGATATTTTTAAATGGGTCAATGTCTCAAGCACTGCCAACATCACCCCAGATTAGAAAAACAAAACAAAACACAGGGATCCATTCAGTCAGTCCAGCGCAGACAGTCCCCGTGCCGCCTGTGCTCAGTCGCAGCCATGGGCTTCCCAATCGTTTGACAAGCCCAGGCCACTCTGCCCAGGAAGGCTGATGGCGTGGTCAGCCCATCCTGACCAGCAATTTCAAGTTTCTTTGGTCAGATTCTGTTCCTCACAGCCTAAGCATTTTCCTAAAATGTTTTACAAGCAGAGTCACTTTTTTTAAAATGGGCTCTTTGAGTCTATTCCTAAAACATAAAAATGAATCACCCATTGTTATACAGTCATGAAATTTCCATTCATTTCAATATCTAAAACTGAAAATCTGCTTTATTTAAAACCCTAATAAGTTACTTTTTCTTAAAAAGTAATTTATAACTACTGTTAATGTTTAAATTACCTTCCTGAAGTAAGCAATGATTCTCTTAATGGTTAAACATTTTATAATGAAATTTTTAATGTTTCTGTATAAGAACGTGAAATTTTTGTTCATAAGATATTCTGAAGAAAATTGAAAAATGTTTTATTACTAGTTTATTGCAGATGACTTAAGTCATTTATTTCAGACAAGATGTTGACTTTATTGTCTTAACATAGAGCCATGTGAAGAGCCTTAAACAAACTCATTACAACTGATGTGTGTCACTGCTGAGTTTTTGCTTACAAGTACAGATTTTTAAATGTTTATAATTAAAAGATCACAACCTCAATTATCTGTAATAATTTTACTTTTTCAACACATATCACTGTTTCATTGTTCATTGGACAGAAAAGGAGCCTGTTTTATTTGTTGTTTTTCTTTCTCTTTATAATTGACTGAATTTATATTTCATTTGTACAAGTCATTTTCGTTAATTTTTATTTTTGGCTTAATTTCTTTTAGAAACATGTCATTCAGGTTTATCAAAAGGTAGGATTTATATATATACTTTTTTTTTTCAATTCTCACCCCAAAATGGTTCCTGCAATTAACATCAGGTTTGGCTTTTTAGCCCTGTTTGTTTTTTGTTTTATTTTTTTAACTAAACTTTCTGCTGAGAACTAAATACTTATTTCCTTGAAAGGAAACTGGGGGAAGAAATAGATTAACTCTTTCAGGCATTTTGAAAGGGACTGCGGCACCCACATAACAAGAGGCCTACGCATGCTCTGTGCATTTTCTTTCTTCAGTAGAATTATTTAGCAACCGAATAATTCTGTCTTCATACTAATAACACTCAGCATGCTTCTGTTTGAGGAATGAGATGTGCAGTAACATTAGTGTACATTTCATGGGCAGCCTCAAGCGGGCAGAGGTAAGTTGTGATTGTGTATGTCATCATTTTTCATTTCATAGAGGATTGAATTAGCAAAAGGCTCTAAAGTGAGAGGGAAATTAGCTCATATTCTGAAATGAGAGACAAGTCTAAAACTCACACTTTATAGCCTATTAGGTTTGGGGCGCTGCATAGCAGAAATGTTGTAATATTTTCAGAGTTGAAGAGTAAATAGTATTTTACTAAAAGCCACTTTCCACCAACCACTGAAGAAAGCGTATCTTGTTTTTCGTGGGTCTTTAAAAAAATATTTTTATTGATTTCAAAGAGGAAGGGAGAAAGAGGGAGAGAGAGAAACATCAATAATGAGAGGGAATCATTGATTGGCTGCCTCCTCTATGCCCCACACTGGGGATTGAGCTGCAGCTCGGGCATAGGCCTCGGCCGGGAGTCCAACTGTGACCTCCTGGTTCATAGGTCAGTGCTCAACCACTGTGCCATGCCCACCATGCAAGCATGTCTTGTTTTTATTTTAGTTTTTATCTTAATATATTTTTATTGATTTCAGAGAAGAAGGGAGAGGAAGAGAGATAGAATCATCAATAATGAGAGAGAATCACTGATTGGCTGCCTTCTGCACACTTCCCACTGGGGATTGAGCCCACAACCCCAGGCATGTGCCCCTGACCAGAATTGAACCCAGGACCCTTTGGTCCACAGGCCGACACTCTATCCACTGAGCCAAACCAGCCAGGGCAAGCATGTCTTGTTTTTAATTGAAGCACTGTAATGTATGCTGTTCCTACCAGAAGACCTTTCTTTTTTTTTTTTTAAATCCTTACTGGAGGATGTTTATTAATATTAGAGAGAGAGGAAGGGGGAGAGAGAGAAAGATCAATTGTGAGAGAGACACGTCAGTTGGTTGCCCTCTGCGCATGATCCAACCAGTGCCGAGGATCAAGCCCTATAGCTGAGGTACGTGCCCTTGATCAGAATCGAACCCAGGACCCTCAGTCCGAGGGCGAGCCAAACTGGCTAGGGTAAAATGACTATTTTTTGATGCTGACAGTCAAGAGCCCAAAAATGTTGCTCACTGCCTTGGAACGCACACACCTGAGGCAGAAAGTCTGCCCTGGAGGCCGCCCTGTGCCTGTGCCTCTCCGCTCCCTGGAAGGCTGGCTACTGTCTCTTACTCAGTGAAACCAGTGGGCCCCTGAGAGGCTTGGTTAACGTGAGTCTTTACCAAAAACCGGGAAGACCACTTTCTTCCTGCGGGAAATGCCACTTGGTGGTGGCTTTGAGTTGATCTTCCTAGTTTCCAGGTTTTTCTTGGAAAGACAATTATCTGCTTGAATGTAGAATTCAGCTGATAAATCCAGTTCCCTTTCATGGAAAGCCATTACACTTTGGGGAGATATTTAAAAGGCCAGCGTACCTCCAGTCGAAGGCCACGAGTGCTCTGCTGCCAGGGCTGGGCAGGGCACCTGCCGGGTCTGGGTCTGGGAAGCCAGTGTGCAGCCCGCCACCTGCTCGGCCTGCGGACACCTGGAGAGGTGGCGGAGCACTGTCTGGGCCACCATGAGAGAGAGACCTAAGCTCACCGGTGACTTGGGTTTCTTGGTTTGCACCGGGCTTCGTGTGCTGCTGTGTAAGACCTCTTTTCTCTCTTCCACTTCTCTGCTTCTGCGTCCTGTTCGTTCAGGCTTCCGACCGAATATGAGAGGAACGGGAGATATGAGGGCTCCAGGTGAGGGAAATGATTTTTTAAATATATTTTATGTTAAAAACTGTGGCTGCGGTGATGCTCTTCCTGCTGTCCTGTGGGTTTGGTGGGTCTGGGTTCTGTGGTTGGGAAGAGGCAGTGCCACTGCTGCCCCCTGGCGGTGGGCCTGGGCCAGAGGTGTGCTACACCCCAGGACCACAGGAGGGCGCCAGGGTGCCGTTGTCTGGGCCCTAACAACAGGAACTTAGGTCTGGGTTTGGTGGGAGACTCCAGATATCTCAGTGACTCCTAGCATAGATCTAGTCTCAAAAATGAAAGCAGTGAGTAGAAATTTCAAATTAGGTTTTTGAATATATTTTTATTGATTTCAGAGAGGAAGGGAGAGGGAGAGAGAAACATCAATGATGAGAGAGAATCATTGACTGGCTGCCTCCTGCACGCCCGCTACCAGGAATCAAGCCCACAACCTGGGCATGTGCCCTTGACTGGAATCAAGCCCAGGACCCTTCAGTCCACAGGCTGACACTCTATCCACTGAACTAAACCAGCTAGGGAAAATTAGATTTTTAGAACAGTGACTATGTTTTCAAGTGTTTTATTTTATTTTTTAATGTATTTTTATTGATTTCAGAGAGGAAGGGAGAAGGAGAGAGAGGTAGAAAGATCAATAATGAGAGAATCACCAATTGGCTGCTTCTTGCACGCCTCATACTGGGGATCAGGCCTGCATTCTGAGCATGTGCCCTGACCAGGAATTGAACCATGACTTCCTGATTCATGGATCAATGCTTAACCACTGAGCCATGCCAACCAGGCGAGTGTTTTGCTTTAAAATCTGGTATAGCTGTCATTGCTCAGATTGGGGACAAAGGAGTCACCAGCGAGGCTCAGGACTCCGTCTCCGTGGTTGGTCCCTCCCTGTGCCCTTTACAGTGGTTGCCACATGCTGCTCAGGTCCTTATTGACACCCATTGGCTCTCTTCCAGGTCTCTCTAAAGCACAGCTCTGTCATAGGACTTTTCTGAATGAAAACCTGCAGTGGCCCCATTGCCTGGCCGACCATGTCCATGCGAGGCCCTGTAGAGCCTCAGCAGCCTGCCTCAGTTGAGGCAGCTTGTTGGGGTGAGAGCCGGGCAGCCGTATGCCCCAGGCCTGCCCACTCTAGCCTGGCACAGGCTCTAGCTGTCCTGAGCTTGTTCCCCTCCGTGATAGGAAGGGAGTCACAGGACCTGCCTCCTGGTGTGTGACAACAGAGTGCGTACACTGCCCAGTCCGTCTGTTGGCACACTTGCTCATGTCCGCCCTGTGCCTCTGCTGATACTCCCTCTGCTCGCACATGGAGATGCTTTCCCGCCTCTGGGATGGAGTGGGACCCGGGGCTCCTCAGAGTCCTCCCCAGAAGCCCCTCCAGGAGCGGTTCCTCCTCCCCTGGCTCCTGCCAGGGGGTGGGCCCTCCTGGCTCTGGGACCCTCTGGTCACTGCTGTGCCTCAGGGGGCAGTCCTCCTCCCACACCCCGACTGCGTCTGAGAGCTCTTGCTCCTTTTTATGGCCTATTCAGTGCCCGACAGGATTTTATAAATGGGAAGCTTCCAGTCCGTTTTGGTGGATGTGAATCCAGCGGAATGTCCTATCAGCAGGTCAGCACCAGGGAACTGAATGCACAGTAAAACCTGTGGCCTACCCTCAGCACTGCTAACGACTTTGCCCTAAGATTAAGTGTATTTAACATTTTACGCTGGGTGTGTTTAATGCGCACGAGTGTTAGGTGTTCACCATCCTAATCGAGGCCTCCAGGTGTACACGGAGGAGACTGTGAATGGCAGTTTGTGTCCATAACGATTAACGGTAAGGCAGTAGGAGGCCTGTTCTTGGGGTTGCAAGAGAACCCTTGCTGGGCCCCACTGTGACGTCTATGGATGTGGGGACTTCGGCTTGAACTTTGCGAGTCCATAGTTTGCATTCAAACAGGTCACTTTTGCTCAGCAACAAATAAGCCTTAACACTTTTTTTTTATTGCACTAGCAAGATAATGTCATGTAAGAATTTTTTTTGAACTGAAACTAGATGTTTAAATTAAAGTAGAAGCAAAAATAATGGAAGTGGGTGCAGGGGATTGAGAGAGTGTCCCCCCCACCCGACCCCCCGCTCCCACACAGCCATGTGCTCAGCCTGTGGGGCTGGTGGCAGGGAAAGCAGGTTGAACTGCTGTGTCGCCCGTTATCCCGTCACAGTGCCGGCGGGGGCTGTTGAGTGAGGAGCGTCACAGGAGTCGAGCAGGGCCCCTGTGAGGGGCTGAGGGCTCCTTGCCGCCTGTGCTCAGCCTGGGCCAGAGCTGGGCTCTTGGACATGTGGGCAGCTCTCTCTCTACTTTGCCTGATTTAACTATTTTCTTAATTTTAGTAAGTACATGACTTAATTTTCTTAGTAAGTACACGACTGGGTGAAGGTCTTACAGCCAGGTAGATTTTCTGCATGTGTGGCCTATGCCTTTAGGGGGAAGCAAATAGATGGTTATTTCTTAGAAAAGAAACAGATAACCACGTGTGAGCCTGTGCAGGAAAACGGCCCGGCTCCGCGCTGTGCTGGAGAGCTGGTCGTGCGCTAGCTAGAGTAGAGGGCCGGCTGTCCCGTGCAAATGAAAATAAACCTGCCGCTGTGCGTTTCAGTCGCAACGTATCTGCTGAGCAAAAGGATGAAAACAAAGAAGCAAAACCTCGCTCCCTGCGCTTCACCTGGAGCATGAAAACAACTAGTTCCATGGACCCCAGCGACATGATGCGGGAGATCCGCAAAGTGCTGGACGCCAACAACTGCGACTACGAGCAGAGAGAGCGCTTCCTCCTCTTCTGTGTCCACGGCGACGGGCACGCGGAGAGCCTCGTGCAGTGGGAGATGGAGGTGTGCAAGCTGCCAAGACTGTCTCTGAACGGGGTGCGGTTCAAGCGGATATCAGGGACGTCCATCGCTTTCAAAAACATTGCTTCCAAGATTGCCAATGAGCTAAAGCTGTAACCGGGAACGATGGTGTAATAGAGCAGCGGCCTGAAGTTCCTGGGCGCTGGTGGAAATGTATAGAATAACATTTAGGCAATAACGTCTGCATCTTCTAAATCATGGTATTAAACTATAAGGACGAGAGCACGCCTGGGAGCGAAAGCTGGCCTCTTTTCTACAAATGCACTACATTAAAGCTGTGTGACACGTGTGCCCTCTGTCTTCTTTCCATTGCCCTGAGGGTCAGCGTGTGACCTCCATCTCCACGTGCCTCCCGTGGGTGCGAGTGGGCCGCGCGTGCGGGTGGTGCATACGGAGCATCTCCCTGCCTGGCCGCCCGTCCCAGCAGCTCTGTGGGAGGTCATTGGTGCTACAGCTGTTACACTTGCCAAGGAGGAAATACTGAACTACTAAGAATTAACCTTAAGACTAGTTGGTAATTAGTACAGGTTTACAGTTCATGCCTGTGGTTTTGTGTTTGTTGTTTGTGTGTTTTCTAGTCCAAAAGGTTTAAATTTATAGTTGTGAACTTTGCTTGTGTGTTTTTCTAAGTAGATTCACAAGATAATTAAACATTCACTTTTTCTCAGTAAAACCTCGCATTGTGTCCTAGTACTGTATTTAAGACTCGGTGAAGGCAGTGACTGAGTGTTTTTGCTTCACCAGCAAGTCGAACAAAAGCAGTTGGCGAGTGTGGGAGGCCTTTGTCCTTAGAGGGTCCTGAAGGCGGTGAAGGGAGAAGACGGCCCTCCCTCCGGCGGCTGAGGAGCCAGGGAGTCGGAGCGGCTGCCTCCCTGGCCCCCGCCTCCGCCTCAGGAGCCGGCAGTCCTGTGAGCAGCAGTGCGGGTCTGGCGGTTCCGGATTTCCTCTGTGAAGTATGTCACTTTCCTCTCGTTTTTCGTGGTTCATTCCTTGAATTCGACGGACAGCTTTTCCCAGCACCTCCCTGGTCCTATGAGCTGATGACTCATCAGTCAGTTTGTCACTTTGCTCTCACAGGGAAGTTGTCACATCGATGGGTGTGCTGTTTGGGTTCTGGGTTTGTTGTTCGTCACAGGAGGAAAGTCTGGACACTCAAGTCACACACACTCTTGTCTGCCACAGCAGGACACTGTTCCAATGTGGTAGGGACACATCGTGAGCAAAACAGACCCCTAGTCTCTTAAAGGTGTGCTCTAAAGCATGGCAGCCCACAGCGACCAGGAAGGTACCTGGGGGCGGAGCCGTATCAGCGCTGTGAAAAATGGGCGCTGGGCAAGGCCTCCGGGGTCCTGGTTCCAGCAGGCGCTGTGCTCAGGGCTGTGGGTGGTGGGGTTCAGTGCTTGAGCAGGGCCTGGGCTGCAGGGGAGGCACCTGCAGAGGCCTGAGGCCAGAGTGCACCGTGTGTTGGAGCCGAGTGAAGGGAGATGCAGTCGAACTCCACCAGGGCCTTGAAGGTCATTGTAGATACGGGTCTTACTCTGAGGGGAGCTGCTGGGACTTCCCAGAGAAGAGTGCGCAGCCTCAGGTCTTAAGGGCGAGGTGCTGGCAGGAGCGGCCAGGGACGGTGGGAGGCGGCTGGCGGTGATGAGGCAAGAGATGCTGCCAGTGAGATGGTGGCTGTTCTGGATGTTTTGAAACAAGAGTCAAATGCATTTGCTCTGGGGTGGAGGCGGGTGAGTGAGAAGAAGCCATAGGCGACTGCACAGCTTCTGGCAGGAGCAGCAGAGAGAACGCGTGGGGGCAGGTGGTGGGAGGCCTGGCGGGCGGGCCAGCAGCACAGGCTTGGACTCCCCCTGGAGGAACTGGGAGAGGGGGCTCAGCCTGCAGGGAGCAGGGGCCCAGGCCTGGGGGCCACCGGATCTGGGAGAAGGGGGGCAGGGCTGAGTGCCCTTTGACCTAAGTGTGGAGCACGTCACAGGCACCTCACTGAAACCTTTCAGACCTTCGCTAGTGAGTCCGTAGTCCCCTCCTCCCTCTGCTGGGGCCTGTCACTTCCTTGTCCAGCCTTGGCCCTCGGCAGGTTCTCTGCCAGCTCCGTGCGGCCCGCAGAGGGGCAGAGGGTGGAGATGTGGAGCTCCGCTCTGCGCACGGGGTGGGGGCTGCGCCTGTTCCTCAGTCTTTCCACCGCCACCGACTGTTTCCTCCAGGGCGAGGGGAACTCAGCGAGGCCTTAGCGAGATGCGGTCACCACGTGCCCTGATGAAATGGCCGCTCTTTATGCAGAAAGAAGCCGTGTCGTTGGCAGCTGCTCTTTTGTCCTCGCCGCCCTGCGTTCTGGCACACTGATCAGTGAGAAGTGGGGGTAAGCCCCGTGGTCACCACAGGAGTCAGACGTCTGAGGTGGTCGCATGCAAAGGCTTTCTTCCTCATTGACGGTGACTTGATTTTAGTGGCAGCGTAGGTGTTACCTTTACTGAGGTTCAGCATGAACTTCATCCCTCGCTGAGGGGCCAGGCCCTCCCTTTAGATTCTGCGTTCTCAGGAGATGGCATTTTTATTCTGCATACACGGGTTTGTAAAGGAATGTTCTGGAGTGCTTGAATGTTGTTTAAGCAGCTAAGACAAGGCCCCGTGTTCCCCTCCTCCACTCCCTGGGACCCGAGGGGGGGCGGTACGTGGCCGGCCGGTGCTGCTGGTTTGATGCCCGATAGCAGGGCGGTGTCCTGGTCCGGAAAGGAAGGTGACTGTTCCAGACATGCCGCTTCCCTCGCAGGACCAGGCAGGCCAGGACCAGGCGCGGCTCAGCGTGTGCCCAGCTCTCGGGCCTTCCGGCTGCACCAGAGGCGCGTGCAGAGAACGGAGGAACCGAGCCTGGCACGAAGGAAGCTGCGGTGGGCCTTTCGCAGCACAGGTTCCCCGGAAGCCTGGAGAGCCACGGCAGGAAAAGGGGCTTCCTGTGCGCCGCGGTGGACACTGCTGCTGGCAGCGCGGTCCTGGCAGCTCCCGCTCGGCGGGTGGGCGCAGAGGCCAGTCTGCATGGCACTGTGTCCTGGGCCAGCACAGACCTGAGGAGGAGGGGCCTGGGTCGGAGAGCTTGGAACTTTGCTTCTTGGAGACTTTACTTGGCTTGGGGGGGATTGGTAATTTGCCATGAGGTCTTTCCATGGGGAACGGTGGCTACTCTTGAAGGACATGGTGAGAAGTGCAGGGCTCGGCTCACAGGTGTCCTGACCGTGCCCGGGGGGCACCCCACCCCCCACCCCCCCGTGACTTCCTGAGAGGGTGACTGGGCACCCTGGCAGCCATTGAGTTCAGTGCAGCCGCTGTGTCAGGCGGCCTTTGGTGCGCCTTTTCGAGGGACAGCCCCGGCCCAAGTGACACTTCGCAGAGCGTGGTGTGTCAGCAGCACGGCAACCCGCAGGCCGGAAGGCTCACGCAGTCGGAACTGGCCTGAGGTCGCTGGTCTCCAGCAGCCCTGGCGCCTTTCCTGCCTCACAGCGGCACTCAGGACGGCGGGAGCCCGTCCGGCCACGGGGGCCAGGAGCCGGTGCGCTTCCCCCCCCCGCTGCCTGCGCTTGCATCACACAGATCAGCCAGGTGCAGGCCGTGCAAGTCCCTCTGGGCAAGTGCCGTGGACGGACGGACGGGAGTGGATCCTGCCTCAGACGACAGACAGCAACCTGGGGCTTGGCATCAGCGTGAGAGCTGGTGGTGTCAGGAGGGCAGTCATGGGTGTTAACAGTGGGCCTCGCCTCGGGGCCACATCCGGGGCACCATTCCCCAGGGGAGGCCTGCTGAGCAGGAGTCCTGGTTTGAGGATATAGGGAAGCTGGTCCCCGATTCCCCTGGTGGCGGGAACAGGCGCTGCCCACCACGCCCGCACTCGCATTGCCCTTGGCGCGGGTTTCGTCGCTTTGTTGATTCACTTTGGTTCCTGCCGTTTGTGTGGTTGGGGCTGGCTGGTTGCAAGCTCTGAGGTTCTCACATGTTCCCGGCTCCTCGGACAGTCATCGCTGTGGTGAAGTACTGCTCACCCCTGGCTGGTGACGGGGGCCTCGTGGGGGTGTCCCCGAGAACGGAGACAGCTGCTCCAGCCTGGCTCTGCCCCCAGCCTGTGCCTTCTGTGTTTCCTGCTCTCGCTCTTCCTCCCACCCACTTAGCCCACCTCTGCGTTATTTTAAGGCAACATTCTAGAACTCCTCCCTCCAGCAGGAGCCGAGTTTCAGGGGCTCACGCGCACCCAGGGAGCTGGGGAGGGTTCTGGCTGCTCCTTCGTTTTCCTGCCGCAGGCAGCTTACCATCCTGCAGGGGTCTCCTGCTCTCTAGTCCAGGCTCAGTGCTTGAAGAGGGGTGTCGTTCCCTCCCTGAATTTTGCTTCTCCAAGTTAAACCGCCTGAGTTCTTTTCAGGTGTTTCCGGGAGTATCCTGAGGACTGCCCGCCATTATCCCTATGGACACTCATCGACATGCATGTTGGGGGCAGGTGAGGGTGGCAGGGACTCCGGAGGGCCCTGTGCTGAGCTCTGGGGATCCAAAGACAAGCCAGGTGAGCCTGTGCCTTCCAGAAGTTGTTCTCACAGGAGAGGGATAGAGACACGGTCTTGAACCCAGTACCGCCAGTGCTGCCAGAAGGAGTGCCGGCTCGAGGCTGAGCAAAGCCAGACCGGCAGGCGAGGTGGCGCAGTGACAGGCAAGCCTGAGGCCTGCAGTGTCCAGTGCAGTGGTGTTAAGTGTGGACGGTTCCTCTATTATTTTTTCTTGAGGGAAATGTATCTGAAGTGTGACTCAATGTGCTGAGCAGTTTGTGTCAAAACTAGTCTCGTTTTAGTGAAAACTTAATGGAAGTTTTGTGTTTTTGCTAAGTTGTGTATTTTGGGAAAAGCTGGGCATGTTTTAACACAGACTACCTGTCTGTCCAGTAATGGAGGCAGGCCAGTTGGGGTGGGTGGGATGAAAGGGGAAAGGGGAAAGGCCAAAGCCTGACCCACGTCTGCATTCTCGGAGAGAAAAGCCACCGTGAAATAGTGACACAGGAGTGCAACCAAGGGCCACGCCCAACGGTTGACAGGGAGGGCTGCGATCCTGCAGGGAGGAGGGCAGGGCAAGGCGGAGCACAGGGCCCTGGGCTCTGGGTGGCCCGGGTGGGCAGGCTGAGTGTGGAAAGCAAAGGGATATGCAGAGGGAGCCCCAGGTTAGACCGAAACAGCAAAGGAAACGGGTCTGGAGGCATTGGTGCCGCTGTCGGCAGTTTCGGGTCTTACGTGTGCCACCCTACATGCTCATAGGCATGGTGGGTTCCAACTAAATTCCTGCAAAGATGCACCTCCAAGGCCTGCAGGACCTGGGCAGACCAGCAAGCACCTAGTCGGGCCCCGGCTTGCCAGGAGGGTTAGTGAAGGGCGGAGCAGGGTCCCAGCCCCAGTACAGTCCCCATCGCCAAGTCGGGAGTGGTGCCGGCCGTCACACGCATGTACCAGGTTGCACACCTGGAGGTGTTCCCCCGCCAGCCGAGGGCCCGTCCTCGTCCCGGGTGGCTGGGACAGCCTTGGGGACGTGCTACTCGGGTTGGGCCGCTGCAGGCCGGGCTCAGGGCCACTGCGCCAGGAGAGCAGGGAGGGTGGTGCTGGGCGGCGAGCAGCCTCCCACAGGCTCAGCGGAAAGAGCTCTTTGAACCCTTCTGGGTCTTAAGTTAATTATTTCAGTGAGGCCTTCAGCTTGGACAAGCTCCAGCTCTCAGAAGGGCTGGAAGGACCTCTGAACCCAGCGGAGCCAGGTCTGCAGAGAGGGAAGGGTCCCCGGCGTGCACGCCTCCTACAGGCCCTGCCAGCCAGGCTTGGGAACCAGCACTTGGTCACCCAGTGCAATGCACATGGTAGAAGCCTCACTTCTCGCAGCTGAAGTCTCCCCTGCTCCTGGGAACCTCACAGCCAGGAAGATGACTTCTTGCCATCAAAGTGATCGCCCCCTGCTCCCGGGGAAAGGAAATTCACTGAGAACAAGGTGCAGCCCCAGGTGCTGTGGGAGGCGTTGGTGTCAGCTCAGGGCTGCAAATAGAAATGCAGAAGGAGGAACCTCCGGTGCCGCCTCTTCAGCTCCTGCTGAGCAGCAGGTCCGCAAAGGCCAGGAGCAGTGGACAGAGCCCACGCCTCGGAAGCAGGTGGCCTCCTGGTGACCCACCCAGTCCTCCTCCCTGAGCCCCGTTCCCGCCCCCACGGGTGGGTGGCGATGGTTCAGGCACAGCTCGCACAAAGGGCCGTGACAGCCAAGCCCAGCCTCAGTCGTCTCCCACGAACTGTGACACATCAGAGCCTTTAAAAAACATGTACAGAATTCGGTTCGGCTTACGTAAGGAGGACATGTTCACCGTAGGAAACTTGGAAAGTGAAGTTTGAAGAAGGAAGTCACCTGTCACCTCTCCGCCTCCGCCCGCTTCTGCTCCTCAGGGTTCCCCACATGCTGTGTGGGGTCCGAGTACAGGCTGTTTCCTCCCCGACCACGCTTCTGGGAGCGCGTCGGCCCCTCCCTGAGACTGCGCTGCGGGCCTGCCTGGCGCCTCGCGGGAGGGGCCTGGTCTTGCAGCGGCCCTGTGTGTTGGCAGCCCGAGCTGTTCTTCCTCCACACGCAGCTGTGTCTCCTAATCACTTCTGCAGGCGCTGGGTGTGTCTCCAGGGTCAGGGGCTCTTGGGTCCCCATGCGCGTTTGGCAGTGTCTGGAGGCACTGTGCACTGTCACGGGGCGGGGGAGGGGGGGATAGTAGATGCTGCTGGCATCCAGGAGCTGGGGGCGGGGTGAGCACCCGCAAAGCCCGGAACAGCCCCCACAGCTGTGCTGCTGGATGTCAGTGGGGCTGCAGCAGGAACCCAGACTGGGGGCTCGTTTCCCAGTGCGGCAGTGAGATCGGGAGTGAGTAGAGCGAGTTCCCTCCGCAGTGGGTGGGGCATTTCATAGGCTTCCCGCGTTTGACGTAATTTCAAGGAAAATTAAACGCGCCCTGGAGCCAAAGAAGGGGGAGGAAGGGGAGGCGGTGGGGCCTGGACCCAGAGTGCGTGGCGGCAGCTACGAGAGTGCACTCAGTGCAGCAAGAGGACACGAGGAACCAGGGACGGAGGGGGAAGGGCTAGGAAACCAGGTGGCCCGGCACAGTCGTGTCCAGTCGGGTAGCTGAGCCCGGGACGGCCCAGCCACCTGGGCCTTGCTGGGTGGCATGCTGAGGGGATGAGACCTTCTGTCAAGAAGTGGTGTGTCTGCCTCGGTGCGCAGCCACAGGCGCCATGGGGCAGTGCTCACCCCGCACTGGCACAGCCACACCTGGCCAGGAGCCCCTCGGCCCACGGGCCACTGTGCAGCAGAGCCTCGGTGGCAGTGGCGCAGGGAGCCTGGCCGGGGAGGGCATCCTGCTGCTGCTGCTGCTCCTGCATGGCTGCTGCTCCTCCTCCATGGCTGCCCTCCACCTCCCTCTGCAGGGCCAGGCCTTTCCCGCGGCTGCACTTCCTGGGCTCCGCGGACCCAGGCCCCGGAGGTGGAGGACACTGAAGCCAGGAAAAGGGTGCCCTGCCTCCTGTCTCCCTGGCCTGGCCCCTCCTGCCCGCTCAGCCCAGGAAGGATGAGTGCAGAGACGCCCCAGCAGGGGGCCAGCCCAGCAAGTATTGACCACGGTCCCTGGCAAAGGCTCCTGGCGGCCCTCCCAGCCTGGACACCACCTGCATGGGCCCCCCACACCCAGGACACCTGCGGTTCCTCATGCTGCCCTCCCCCCACACCTGCTTGTACTGAGCCCCAGGTCTGGGATGACCAGCCCCTGTCCCAGGTAGAGAGCCCACAGTCTTCAGTGGACAGACTGCCAGCCCAGGATGAGGCAGGCGCAGAGGCCGAGCCTGGCTTCACAGAGTTGCAGGAGAACCTGGGAAGGGTAAGGCCTGCGGGACCAAGCTTGGGCTGGGGCACCCCAGGCTGGAGGGGGTGGGTGTCGGGACAGAGACGGCCCTGGCCAGCAGGTGGCAGCACAGGCTGCCCTCAGGGCTGAGGAGTTGGAGAAGGAACAGCCAGGCCCTGGCTGACTCGCCCATGGTGGGCCCACAGTGAGAGACCAGCCCGGTGCAGTGGCAGCTGGGAAACACCCAGAAAGCCTGGCCGGGGACACTACGGTGGGACCCACTGTGGGAGTCGGAGGGACTGAGGCACCTGAGGCTCTGAGGAGGGCGGTGTGAGGACCCCAGGCTTCTGGAAGAAACTGCGGGGTGGGGCCTGGGGGCACGAGGGGCCAGTTCAGCCTGCGGGAGAGCATCTAGCAGAGAGGGTGGGTGTCGGGGAGGGGATGCTGCCAGGCTGGCTGGAGGAGGGGGTAGTGTTTGGGGTGGAGGAACAAAAGGTTTCAAGTTTCTGGACTCCCGCCCTCCTCACAGCATCCACACCTCCCCCACTCTGTGGGCGGGGCTGAGCCAAGTGCCAGGCTCCACCCCCAGGCCCAAGTGCTCTCAGATGCTCAGCTTGGGGGCTCCTCCCTGGAGCTCCTCCCCCTCCACAGCCTTCCCCCAGCCCACCCCAGGCCTGCAGGGAGGGCCCAGAGGGGTTCATGGAATAGGACCAGGTGGCACAGCAGGGTGACCCTCCTGTTCCTTTTGCACCTTAGAAGTGACGCAGAGGGGCAG